CCCCCCCGCCCGCCGCCCCCCCCCCCCCCCCCCCCCCCCCCCCCCCCCCCCCCCCCCCCCCCCCCCCTATACGTGATGTACAAAATAGTAAGTAAGTAGTAGAGATGAAGAAACCAGAAAAGCGTTATTATACGCCAAATCCTATGGCTTAGAGAATTCTTCGTCGTGTCGTTCATTCGTGGGTTTAGTCATTAGGTTGTGTGATTTTCCGTCGCCTCGTTTTCGCAAAGAACGAGGGAAGTGGTGATAGGATGTATCAAGTGTGTGAATATCGAATCGACTTCAATTTTGAGTAATTTGAATCAGTTTGCCACGCTAAGCTTAGAACCAGCGACGGCGACGAGCGGGGGATGAAGCAGCGACCTTGGACTCGTGGTAGCGGGCCTCGCGGCGGCGGTGGATACGCGCGCTGCAGCAGGTGAAGAGTAAGATGACGGAGGCGAAGAGGCACAGAATGGCAGCAACAAGAGTTGTCCATGACGCGGAACCGTATGATGCGACAACTCTGTCGTTGGAGTCGTTGACGGCCGATTTAACGATGGAGAAGGACACAAAGTCTGTGATGAGCACGACGGCAGTCACGAGGAAGGTGATGAAGGCGCCGAGAGCGGACAAGAAGCTCCCTACGAAGCCGGCTCCGATAGCCAGGACGAAGGAGATGAAAGCCAGCCCAGTTGCGATGGGGTGGAGGACCATAACTTTCGTGAGAGCCCGGGCCGTGTCATGGGCATAGTCTGAGAAGGAGGTGTCTCCTACATTTCGCTCTATCACGGCCACGGGGTCGTACCCAATGTGCGAGTCAGTGCAGTCTTTGGAGCCCTCACTAAAAACATGATATTAGCTTTACGCAACAAAAAGGTAGTAATGGCCAGGAAAGAGTATAGCATTGGAATAATGGGAGAATGAGGGGGTTGGTGTGCGAGACTTACGCTGTGAAGTCCTTGAGACAGTAACCGAAGGTACCAAAGGTAATAGAGGGAAAACGGTCGTCATCATCGCTGAATAAGTCGGACCGTTCATTTCTGCCCAGCTCAACCTTGAGGAGAGAGATGTCTGAGACCACGGGTGCCGAGATATCGGTAATGATAAGTAAGACCGTGGCGGCGAAGAGAAAGAAAGTGCCGATGTGGTGGATGAAGCCTGTCCGAGCCATGTTTGATGAGTTGAGATTAAGCGATAGCGGCGTACTGTGTAGTATATATGGACTTGTTTTTAATCCTTTATAGCGAAGGGTGAGAGTAGGTACACGGCTGGAAGGCTAACGCGAGATGTGTGCTCAGCAGCTGGTGAAGCTTGGTGAGATGTGAAGACAAAACAAAGAACAAAATGTGCCAGTAGTTAGGCGAGAGGTGGCCGTATTATAAGTATCGTATGCATAAGAGCGGCTGGCTTCGTCAGAGGTGGTCTCATAGTGTATCGAATGCTTCAAAGACCCAGCAGCGTCAGCACAGCGACAACTTACGTTGCCCAGGTTCGTGGTTGGGCTTCTGTCACGCTTGACGACGTCGATCAGGCAAACGTCATGCTCGCCAGGGTCAACACTCCCTGATTGGGCCCATGTTTGCTAGCGCTGCGACCCTGAGAAATGGTTGTCCATTAAAGGAACAACAAATGTGTGAGTGGTATCACATGATTGGGCTATTGTTTCGAGCCCTTGCTCGTGTCTGCCCATGCCCATGCTCACTTCACCAGCTGTGACGTCGTGGCTCTGCTCGCAATGCCGAAATGCTTAATTGGATGATGCAAATGGGGGGTGGAGACGCGCCTTGGTCTTTTCTTGTTTTTTTCCCACACTGCCCAGGGACTTGGATCTTAGGTCTCTTGCGACCGATCTGGGTCTGGCCCTTGACCCCAAATGCAGGCGTCTTCCCGCTGCTAAGCCGAGTTGCCGGCCCACCGACGTCATCTCTGCATTACATGTCTACTGTCCACCATGCTACACTACCTGCAGGACTATTGTCCTACACAGCTCTGCTTCCTTTGCGTCTTCCTTTGCCGCTGCCGCTAGGTATATGTGCAGGTGTATATGTGTGGGAATTGTGAAGGACACTATCCCTAAAAGAAGTTGGTGTTACTGACGGCGTCCGGATAATTCCAGCTTTTTGGACAGCACACGGGAACCCATCAGTCTAATTGCTTGCCGAACTCCGAATCTACTGACTCGCTGCACGTTGAGTGCGGAGCGTTGCCCAGGGCCCTGCATACTTTAAACACGTATAATTGCGAACAAGATATCCACGATCTGGCGGATATAGTTCGCACTATTTGCGAGCGGTGATTTTTTTCTTCTTCCCATACTACTCACACCTCCCCGAAACTGCTAAACAGCCTCATTAATGATGTGGCTCAGTTTGACGTAAGCACCAGGCGCTAACAGGATTGGTTTTCTGATCCTTCCAAAGACGTCGCAGGGCACGTAATCTCAGTTCGTCTGATATACCATCTGACCTGGACGGGATGAACTTGTCCATTTGATTTGCATAACCCACCGTAGGAACTTCTAATTTAGATGGCGACTATGAGTCAGTAGCCTAGATTCTCCGGCCCAACTAACAAGAAGGCTCCAGACTATAGTTGTTTGTGAGTCCAGGACGTTGTCGGGCACGATCCTGCCGCAAGGATTTGTCTTGGCAGTTTTTGTAATCTATGTTCGCGGGGTCACATAAGTCTTCATTCTTTTATCATATTCTTTTCATATTCTTCGATCTCCGTATCGTTTGTTGTGTCAGAAGGAGAGTTGGAAACTTGAGTTTCTGCTTCAGCTTGCATGGGCTCAGCTGCAGTATCCTGTGGAGTTTCTGGTTGTTTGCTAGCTGATCTGTTTCTGCATTCCTCGGTGAATTGCACGAGACTGCCCATGACTGTAGGCGTTGCTTGTTTCGCTTCTCGGCGTCGTATCCGCTCCAGAACGAAGGCTTCGCGTGCAGAGTGGCGCTTCTTGCCTAATAACGTAAAAGCGGCCCCTCCACGCCCGTTCTCAGCGAAGCTGTCCGATTCGTGGGCTAGCGGATTACCCGTTTCCCAGTCATACAGAGCTGGCGCCATTACGCCTGAGGGTATAACTCGCCTAAGAGCAGCTGATACAAAGGTTTCTGTCGTCCCGCTTCCGGGCCACGGGCCATAAAGGGGGTTCTTCCTCACTTCCTCTCTGTGGTCGTAACCCGCATTCACAGGAAATATGTGTAAGGTGAAGGTTTTATGAGACAGCCCTAGCTTAATAGAGGCTGGCGTCGGCTGGATGATCGGGTTCGTTGGGAGCGGGCTAATAGGAGCGGCGATAGTGCCGCTCACGTCATCATCGAGGTGCCCGGGGGAATCGCTTCCAGAGTGTTGTGATACTATAGTCCGTTCGAGTGGGGAGCTCTCAACGAGGGTTGTAGCCGCGTCTGGTCTTGTAGTAATGGCTATGAAAGAAGAGCTGTCCTAATAATCCCCAGGTCAGTTTAGAAGGACATCCAAACGCATTTAGTTGATATAAGGGGCAATAGATAGGGTCTAAGCTGTAGGTACCTGGAGCTTCTTGAACATCTCAATCGACTGTTGCGAGGACTTCTGGAGGGCAGCAAGCACAGCACGTCGCTCGTAGAAAGTTTTCGGCGCAGGGACACACTTCACAAACAGCGACCGCGAATTGAGAGTGAATGGCTTCAATTGAGAAAGCGCCGAACTAGAAGCCGCCATATTGTTGGAGTCGGCCTACTGCGTTTGTCGCAGTGAGGTGAAATGGGAATTTCACGTCTTTGTCCAGAGCTCCTACATGTAATAATACATCTGGAAATCCATCTACGATAACAGCTCCGACTCTGTCTGGGTGGGGCTTATCGCTTGACAGCTGTCTGACGCTTTCTCCAGCTGCGCGACTACGAGGCAAATGGCATGAACTAACCTATTGCTAAACAACTTGGTCCTTTGGCAGAGGCTAACAAAGCAGTGAAAGATTTGAGCAATAGGTGTCAACTAAAACTTACAAATGTATCCAGAGCGTCCTGTGCGAGTATTAGCAATTCACTCCGTGCACGTTGATATGATTATATTGTAGAAAGCACTTCCATAATGGTGTGTACCTCAAATTTGGTTGTCAAAGTGAAGTGATAACAATCCAACACAGCTTTACCTCATGAGTAAGGGATATAACGCGCTTCTTTAACTTGAATAATCCCTTAGATCACCTGAGAGATTACCAGACTGTCACAGTACCATATAGCAAGTGTAGGCGCGAAGGATCTCGACCTGACAACGTCGTTTCTATTTTTTTTTTGCAATATCATAGCGGTTTAGCACCACACTCCTATTCTGTTCCGTGACAAAGACATCGCTTCTGGGGTGTACACTTCCTCACTGCCTATATTGAAGTCGCCTTTCACTTTCGTGATCTGGTTCCTCATTTTGTTCTTCAATAGAGGGCTTTCCCTGAAGCTCCTGATATTTAGCACTCTCTCCCAGTCTCAGCCTGTATTGTCAAAGAAATTTATGGCAAACCGTGGAGGGCCACCAGAGCCTGATGCGCCAACGGAAAAGCGTGGGAGACCTCCTAGGAACCAAAAACTAGTGAATATTATCCGGCGTTACTACAAGCGCGGACAAGCGCTGAAGAGGAGAAACAAGATCGAAAGTCCCGTGCCGGCTTTGTCACTGTGTCCATCTCCCGACCAGGGATTAGTTCAGATTCTTCGATCCTCTTTAAGATATGTGGTTTTGGGGTCTTCGATTGGGCAAGACTTACCCTATCGAGAAAGCGATCTTCTATACGGACCCATTGTACACTGAGTGCCGTGCGTACGGTCGAATAAAAGAGGCCATGGGTAAGGGGGGATTAGAGGGAAAATCGCGACCAAATGCCCCGGTTATATGTTTCTCGCCGCAGTCTCTCAGAGGTAGCTAGAAGAACAATGATTCAACTTGAGAACCAACAGGCTTATCGACGAGCTACTCACGATCGTAGGAGGAGCTGGGCGACCTCGTGCTATTGTCAAGGACTTCGAAATCGCAGGTGCGGACCTCGACGAACAGACGCCGCACCAGATCCGAAGAATCCGAAGAAGCTTCTAGAGTGTCCGCCAGCTAAACTAGCTCAGGATCTACAATAGGGATGTGCGGGAGGAGAATTTTAGGAACGGATGGCTTGTGGGCTTCGACGTAATTATCTTACACTCTGCCGCACGCTATTTACGATTTTCTCCCTTTATTTACAACTGAAGTGATGCTGGGAAGGGACTAGGTGAAGTTCGAAGATATGCTAGAAGGGGCAGGTGTAAATATAAGGTTTCTCTGGATAAAGTACTATAATTTACGATTAAGAAATGGTAGACCGGCAATGCTTTGAGAGTCGACTGATTTAAGGAGTACCAGGACTCTCTATAGCTACGTAGTATAGTTTTTGATTGCTGCCTCTTTTTAAGTCAATGTATGGGGTTTGTAAGTTTGTAAGACTCTTTTTATTGTATGAGGACAGGCTGTGAATGTCCTGTTTAGGGTTGTCTGCGCTATAGACACAATCCGGTTCTTCGACTAGGACATAATCAAGCGGTGTCTTTACCGATATGGGCTATCTTACTTGGCTGCCTGTGCCCAGCGCCCCTCTTTGGTAATTTGGCATATAAGGGTAAGCCCTTCGTACCTGAAAGTGACTTAGAGTGATGAAATTAACTCTGTAGAGATCTTGAGGTTGCTGTGTGGCCGAAGATAAACCACTTTGCTCGCCCCTAGCTGCGTCTTGATGAAGTCCGTAACTTCGGGATAATAGTTCCGCATAATTCATTGTTCATCCCAGAACTTTGCCTCATCGTGTACTGTTGCCTTTTCGGCTAACATAAATCCGTGACGATCCGTTGAGATCCCATTTTCATCGCCACGAATATCATCACGGATGGACATTATCATAGAACGGAATAAGAACAGTGTGATGCTTAGCACCGGGAATGATGAAGAGTGGAACGTTTTAAAAAGAACGGTTTCTCTTGTCAGTATATATCAGCATCGGCAAGATACTCAACTCTGGGATCAATGCGGGCCAGGCGCCCTTAATCAAGAGTCGCCATTCTACGGTTTCGAAAGGCAAAGCCATACAAATTAATGCGGGAAATCCTGACATTGTCGAAACATACAGGCAGGAGAAGGGCTTATAAAAATCTTGTGAAAGTCATACTCACCTCACTCATAGGTGTATAACTCAAAATCACTAAAGCTCCTCACCAACATTCCCATCTCTTACCCAAGACGGTCGGTATGCTTAGACAGTCAGATACTAATCATATCGCTCCGCTGCGACTAAAGTCAATTGCTCTTCTAGGCGAACCTCAAGACAATACACTGCTGTTGCTCTGTTAGCTATGGATATAAGAAGATCTATACAGTAAGACTTTCATTGTGGTACAAGGTCTAACAGGCCAGAAGTCTGAAGGCGTTCAGACTTCTCCGGCTACATACAGCTTATCTCTTCGTTTGCCCGCCTTGAGACCCCTGACAGGGTATAAGTACATGGTAGGATTTTTGCACTATTTCTACTATTCGCGACAAAAACAGGATTGAATGACCATTTAATCACCGTCTGCATGCCTTCTGTCCCCATGTTCCTATCTTGTGATCTCCCTGACACGAAGTAACTACTGAGGCAATGAAGGATGGCTACACCAAAATATTCATAGTATACTAGGGTATGGTTGGCTAGTAACGAGTTTGTTACCGGATAACTTGTCAGATACAGTATTGCTTCTCATTGCTCATTGATACCAATATCAGTGATCATGTCATCATTACTAACCTCTCCCAAATGGGCTACTAACATGTAATCCAACATAAAATGCACCTCTGACCGAAGCTAATTCGCTGGTCAGGCCTGTCATCTTTCGTTATCAAGTTCTAGAGACTGTTAGCGAAGTCTTAAAATAGCCGCCGTGTTGCGGGGGTAGTGTAACCTACTCAACATCAGCAAGACGACCCTAAATTACCCATAGCCTCCACGTTGCACGAGCTGAAAAAAGGGGGGTGATTCTACGCTGTCGAATATTGTGCATTGTCGGGGGCGAAGTTCCCACCGTGTCCACTGAGATGGACCATGTTACAGAACTCGGTAGTTCGAAAAATATATTTAATACAAGAAAAGAAAGCTGACGGAAACCCGCTATTTTTAACCGTACTTCCCAACGCTGCAATGCAGTTTACATAATATAACCCTTGCTGTTACTAATATACTTTTAGAGATGGGATACTTGCCAATATCGTCCAACTAAGCAATTATGTTATTTAACTAGGAGAACATATGTTGAGCTTATAAGTTAAGCAATGGTCCGTTTTCGCGATATATAGCAACATTAAGAGCAGAGTGTAATTTCTTTTCGTAGTTGTAAGATTGTCTCGGCAAAGCTTCCACCAAGCTTTGTCCTTTTCATTAAGACCTGAACCCTTGAGCACTTAACACGAGTTCAAAGACGCATCTCCAAGCACCAATATTACACCTTCACGCTATCGCGTTCTACCGGATCATCCATCTATCAAATAATTTCGTAATCCATAACCAAAAAAATAAATACTATGTCTTCAAATGATTCATACACCGCGGTATCCCACCAGCAAATCCAGGCTCAGACCAGTATTGAGGAGTCGGGAATCACACCCACCTCTCCACTGTCTTTCCACCACGATGCTCATGAACGAGATTCCGCTGCTCCAGAAGTCGACGATGGCAGAACCGAGTCTCTTGATCGGCCATCAACTGAAGCTTCTTCCATTCACGATATAGTCACTCAAAGCCAGGTCTCCATCACTACACACCCTCTCCACAGTGAAATCTCGTCTCCTTCAGAACTACAGTCAATGGACAACACACTAGTTCCACAACCCTCCTGCAGCTCTACAGCCACAGAGCCTCATAGAAGATTAACCATCAAAGATTCAATCGGGATCTATGGTTTACTTATTCTTGTGCTCGGGACTTTCACTACCCTTGCTAGTCTTGGCTTCATCATATTTCTGTGGACCGGACAGGGCTCGTCTCTACAGGCTGTCCACGCATCTCCCTCATGGCGCGCAATAATCATTGCCGGATGGCTTACACAAGCTACCACACTTGCAGCCTTAATCATTCGCGCATCAGCAGCAGCACAAGCTACTGTGTGTACTGCCATGCTCTCCGCGCTATTTCTTGAGAAACAAGCTGTCCCAAAGTCCGAAGCACCTCAATTCTCAATCCTGAGAACTGTTAATGACGGCCCCGTTAGGCTGGCACAGTTGATATTCAAACGCGGGCAGTTTTCTCGGATGTTATGCATAGAAACAATCCTAGTGTTTGCCTTAGTCGTCAGCACGTTATCTCTTCAATTCAGTTCAACTATCCTCTTCTCCGACCTACATGATTTCCAAATAGCGGAGAATAGCGCGTCTTTTCCGGTCAATGATTATATTTCTGAAGAAGTGGAGGGTCTATACGTAACCGACTTCTCCCAGCTATCCCCCCCGAATGCTATCTTTGGCGAGCTACCTTCTACCAGATCCGTGGATCCTGATTCCGCTGGCTTCAGCATTACCCGGCCCGTGAAGAGAGCGTTTTTACCTCTGAAAGAATCCCAGAACAGGACATCTATCCACGCGTACAGTGGAAATACAGTAACAGTATCCTCTAACGTTGCCTGCATGCGCCCTATTATGCAATCAACCTATCAGGGGAAGCAATGGGGGACAGGACTTCAACCTGAACCGTTCAGTTTCGGTGAGATAAACGGCACCCTTCATTACGGCGAAAGTCTGCAGAAAGCTCATTCTATCACAAGCTTGTGTGATTCGAAAGGGTGTTTGACTTCCGATTTCCACTGCTCTCTTCCTGGCGGCTATGAGGCTCACCCTGGCTGGGGGGACTCGCTCTGTTTGATCGACGCTGTAAATGGTGATTCTCCCCCCAGCGATGCTGGCGTCAAATGGAACTCGACGACTGAACCGTGGTCTGACAAATCTATTGTATATCTTCTATTATCGACAAACATGTACGAGAGTGACTGGAACGCATCTCGTAATGTCAGGGGAATGGAGGCAATTCCGGCCACTGACATTGGAGAATGGAAGAGCTTCGAGATACAGCAGGATCGCTTTATCAACGTAACATTGTGCTTTTCATCATTCCACGCGGAATTAACGTTTGTAGACATGGCCGCCATAGGTAGTTTGGCGGAGCCGCAGGGAAACTGGTCCACAATAGGTGTTGGTGACTCAAGCAAGGTTCGCAAGTACCTGGGTGTCAGTGATAAGAATAGTACTCTCGCAGATCGGGGTCTTCTTACGATCAACGATATCCGAGCGCCGCAAAAGCTCGCTCCTTTAGATCCCAATGGCCCTAATTATAATGACAGCTCAAAGCCTCAGCAAACGTTGGCGGAAAGGGGAGCGAGCGATTACGAAGCACTGGTTTATTACCAACTCACATATTCCTCATCTGATATACCCTCCATTATAGGATGCAATGTGTGTACCTTCTTGGGGAACACTCAAAACCCCCAACGGATCCAGATTCTACAAGACACGATTGCTGAAACCAAAAGAGCCGCTGATGCAATACAGGCATGGACAACATCTATCAGCAATACCATTTACTATGATTTTCTCTCGAGCTTCAATGCAGCGGAACAGGTCCAGATTACTTTCACAAAAATTGCACAGATAGGAGGAGGAAACGGACTCAAGGGCTTGATTTCAGTTATAGCTCTTGTTTCCTTTCACTTGGTATGTGTTGGCTTGACGTCAATATTCTTCGTGAGACGGACACAATACTCGCGGCAGGGAAATACGTGGCACACTATCTCCCAGCTCATCGGGCCTGAGTTGAACTCCATGCTTGAGAGAAGCGACAACATGGATGACTCTACGATTGCAAAAGAGGCAAAAGAAAACGGAGATAATGTTCTCGTAAGGCTTGAAAAGACCGGAGATGGAAGGATCGGCCTCGTCAGGAAAGAGGAGCAGCCCAAATCGTCACACAAGAAAGAAATCGCCAGTGATGAGGCTGTACTCAACGATGCATAGAGCGCACGTAGAGCGGTATTCTCAAATGTCCATGTTGAGAAATAGTATGGTGATCGAGGGCGTCATGAGATATGTGTGGGGAAATAACAACGCTCATTCGCTTGGAAATCACGGTGCTTATGATATTGATATAATCGAGATGACATCTGAGCGACTAGACGGAGTACCAAGAGAAGATTTAGCGCTATACCGGAATGGGTTTCTTTTAACTCTCATTTCTCCCATGTAACATTAGAGCCAACGGACAGCTTGCACAGAAGTCAACTTTGGACATATCAGCAGAGAATTCTATTCACGATACCACGAAGTATTGCTGGATTACATTTTTCCATTCGTACACGGACACCGGAAGTTGTAATGATTGACTTCTTGAAGTGATGTAGCTCCATGTTACACGCAGACAAGCTGTACAGGCTGTACTAGCTGAACATGTAGTTCGCCTTGCACTTCGGCCGTACGAAAGGCCATTGCAGGCTGTTCATGATCATTCAAAGACATGCGGGAAATATTGGGAAGTGAGGTTATACAGACTTCGTTTCTTGAAACAGACCCTTGAGACCCAGGCGGTCTGGGCTAGCAGACTAGTTGTATATAGAGTCGAGTCAAGCCACCAACAGCCGAAAAGGAGTTGGTTGGCCAAGGACTCATGCAGCCCTAGTTGATCATTGTACTGAATAGCGTCAAGTTCCCAAGCCCAGTTATCTGCCCTTGTTATACTCCACGCGTCGATCATAGTACAAGAGACAAAACGTACCAATACACGAGAAAGGCCTATTTTCTACTTTTTAATTTTGATTGTATGGGATTTCTGGATGGTCTTTTGCAGCTAAAGTGAAACCAACAATCCACTGTTCCGTGTACGAAGACGTCACATTATCCACGAGCGTCTTTCGACTTACAGAATGTTGCAACGCCGCAAAAATATTCGGCACCGAGAAAATTCGAGACCACCTCAGCACGGCATGGGTCTAGCAGTGAGCCTGCGTATGCTGGCCGGGGCCACAATTCCAACAGATAGGAGAGAACGGAATGCTGCCATTTCGAATTCCTTAATCTTCCGGAAGCCAAGCCGGATAGTATAAATGGAGTACCTCTCGATGCAGGGCGTATGTACATCCTTCTTTAACTTATAGTGATATGCTTGGATTCGATCGGAAGCGGCGTTGAAGTTGCCAACCCAATAACGCTCTGCCACAGATTCTTACGTAAGGTACCTAACCCCTATTATGAATACCTACTTAGTAGGTACTAAATCCACACTCTTCCAGCCAGCTCACCTTCTCATCTCAACAATCCAGTGAATAATGACCAATACTTGTTCACTTATCGCCCGAAGAATCTGGATGAACTGATAGTTCGTCCCCTTCTCCAGATCTCATTATATCTGATTTCAGCTTCAATCAGTCCGTTCTAAAGTGAAACATAGGCCGCAACCAGATATATTGCTGCATTTGCGGGAGTCCATTTCTGGAAACCGTTTATCGGCAGGTTGCACTCTAGGTATAGCTCTCAATTGGCATACCATTTCTCTACACCTATCTTAGTGACGACGAAGCATTAGATTAGTGTACTTATGCCACTGTCCTGACTACTGGACATCGTACAAACAACGGTATCAAGCTGGACACCTATTCAAAGCCAAATGTTTATGACTCTCCCCTTAAATTCAACCCAGTCGACGGTGCTCAGAGCCACGTACTACAATTGGATGCCAGCTACATAGAGCATAATGAATTTCCAGTCACAGAGCTAGGAACAAGCGTCGAGGTCTTTTCCATCTCACAAGAAGGCCCTCCCTACCTCGCCGTCCACAAGCTATGCTACCAACTGGCCGAACGTTTCATAAGTAGCAGAGTAGCAGCTCAGGGTGCAACCCCCCAGGTCTCATCTGAAGACGCAATTTCTTCCATTGAACAGCTATGGAAGGTAATGTATCGCCGCGTGCCAGGATCCTATCGTATTTTCAAATACATTTTGCCAGATTTGTTTGATTACTACGGGGGCAGTGGATGCCGTAACGTGTATTAGGAGCGCGAAGATGACCCCGAAGATGCCGAGGTTTGTCGTACAAAGCATAGCAAACAATAGAAGTCATGTACTAACCATCTTCATAGAGAGTAGAAAGTAACCCGCTAAACATATCAAGGCTTACTGAATCCATACTCAAAAACCTCGAGCCAGAACCATCTGAAAGGCGAAAAGAGATAATATCTGGGACAGATAGTGACTACCGACACACAATATTGCCATCGGTGGCTGGTGGTAGCCAAGGCGATTGGTGCGACGCTCTTGTGAACAAACAGCTGTTCCCGTGGCTGTGGGATTTAGATACCGAGGTCGTCCGCAAGAAGCAACAAGAAAGCAATTGGGACTGGGAAAGCCTCGTGCGTAAGCTTGTCCAAGGTCAATGTCCACGAGTCTAGGAACACAGATTTGAGTCTACCCCCTGGCCTAAAGATGTCTGGAAGAGGTGAGGGTAGATGATATAGCAAATAAACTACGACACCCAAGATCTGGAATGAGTCGTGCTACTGATTGAACAGCACGCGGTGTAGAACTACCGATATAACTCAATGACTCGAACGAAAAATAGAAATGCCAAACCAATGATTAGGTCTAGAACTTCGTAACCCGTACCCTCAGTCATCGCCCGGCAAAGAGAGCTATTGCCTCTTGAGAATAGCGTTACGTAGGTGTCGTATCGCGGAAATGAGAGTAAAAAAATATCACGCTATCTGCCGCAGCGGCTGGTTTGAAAGCGAACTTACACAACTAATTACTCAGGGTTGAATCTGAACGCATACTCCAGGTAAACGTGGACCTTGAAAACCGGTCAATACGATTTCTCTTGCACGGTAATCAATGCAGAACTCCCAGCATCGACATACCCATCTATTCAAGCTACCGGTACTCTTCAAGGGCGCTAGCAACCAGGCATCTCGCCGACAAGCTCCCACGATTCATCATCGTTATTCCATACTACTCGACACAAACTCTCTGCTACATCTGGGTCCCATCGAGGAGTAGATAATATATAAAACGCAGGATAACTACTAGAACCAATCAATGACACAATACAGAAGTCGCAAGGAATGCATCCATCCAGACAGATATTTCCGCAGACCCACAGAAGCGCTTCCGTAGAGTCGACTACCACGGCCCTTCCCGTGTCTCCCAGCCGAGTTCGACATCTAAATGGGGGCGATAACAGCCTGACCCTGCGTCGTCGAGCTTCACATTACTTATAAGTCTGTAAACCTAAGCGCATTATCCGCTTCATAGCTACTCGTACACAGATCACAACACACATGCACAATAGTCATTCATTACCCATGCATGCATAATATTGACGAATACTGACTAATTGGCCTAGCCTGTAGTGAATTCATGGCGTTCGTTCCAGTTTACTAGGAATCGTAAAGGTGCTCAAATCCATCGTGAAAGCAAATCACAGAAACCGACTTAGAACCTATCGCCCAAATAATGCACCTGGTACCGATCCCCGCCGTATGTAGGGACTCCACCCGTCCCGAACCGTGAAAGAAAAAGCAGTTTGTACAAGAAACGGAAAACGTCGACGACTATGAAAATGATCCGGGGTATCGAGGCGCTCCCGCTCTACAACCCCTGCCGAAACCTCAACGCCAAAACAATATAGTCCCCCGCCAAAACCCTTGTACTGGCGAATTAGAGACTAGCCTGTGTGGAACCTTTGCCGTAACTTATAGTAGAGCAAAATGTTGAAAATGTTCGAAGCATTCGAAATGAACATGGGATACCGTTGAACGCATCCAGTACCGGCAGTTTCCGGAAGGGGCCTTACATCTCCATCGTGGCGGCTATGTCTTCGCTCACGCCCCTTACAGAATGAAGAGCAAGGTCATCCTCATCGTCACTCTCGCTTTCATCGTACTGATCGCTCTCTTCCTCTTCAGGAGTCGAGTCCCTCAATGGATCAATATCAACATCGTCATCGGGATTCCAGATTTCAACGTCCGGTTCATCATCCTCGTCATCGTATTCATATTCATCGGGGATGACACGACCAGCGAGTTGTTCACCTAGCCAGAATCTGGCACGCTTATTGGCACCAAAACTACCAGCCAGGGGAGCGGCGTGGCGCTTGGTGCTGCAATTGCTCCCTCGTCTGTGTGGCACTAGCGCAGGAGAGTTCATCACAACCGGTAGGCCCCTGACATACATGTAGGCAACCCTCCTCATCTTCTTATTGAAGAAGAAATAGTGCAGGCGCCATATGGCAGCCTCATCCCCATCAAAAGGATCATCTGGGGGTTGGTAGGAGAAGACGGTGCAGTCCTTCAGAGTCATCTCTTTGTCAAGCATATTCCACATGTGGGGACCCCAAGCAGGACTATTCACAGGGAAGGCGTCTGCCGTCGTTGTTGAAGAAGGCGCATTGCCATAATCACGGTACATAGAGATCATACTCGGCGAGAGAAGCGAAGTTCCTTGCGGACGTACGCTGTGCAATGTGTTGTCGAAGCTTGCCATAGCGTGACGTAGATTTTTCTCGCGACGAAAGTCCGACGGCCGCAGAACGTGCGAGAAGTCATAGTCAGGATGGCTTGCATTCAGCGTCGCAATTAGATATGCAAATGTCCGTCGACTCGAAATGTCACTCAGCGGACCGAAAGGACTGGAGCGCGATAAGTTCAGCGATCCAGCCATTTCCTTTCGCTGTGGAGGAGACAAAGAAGCGCCGAACTTGAGAAGGGCGGCATGCTGTGATTCAAGAGAACACTCGATCGACTTGTAGAGCTTTTTATCGGAACCGGCGGCTTTCGTAGTATATAAATCGCACCCACCAGTTACCTTGCAATCAGGCGTGCTGAAGTTCAGCGCCGACGTGATGACGTCGAAGTCGCGTAGAGGTAAGAACTAGAGCGCGGCGCAATGTTAGCAAGTCGCGGGCGCATGATACTTTGCATGCTCCTTCAGTCCGACTAGGACGAACCTTCATTGTGAATAGCTACTATGGCACCTTTCATTCGAAAAACCACCGAGACGGCGCACACGGTGCTGGTGCGGGCTGGACAGATCACCAAATGGGGCTGCCAGGTGGGGGTGGAGCGGAGGAGTCGGATGACGTCGCGTGTTTGGGAATGGGCGGTCAATCACTATAATGCGACGAGTGCGAATCGAAGCAGCAACTTGCAATCCCTAATCAAGCGATGGAAAAGCTGCTGTTTGAAATGGGGCTTTGGAAATACAATGAAAGAGATGATATGATGACGATTGTCTTGCCTTGGCTTGGCTGCAATGGGTTGTCACGTGTCGAGGACCCGTGTAGTCTGTATAGACCGCCCCTACCGAAACTGGATGAGAAGCGGAATGAAGCGGAAAAGAACCACGGACCGTTAACGTTGACATGCACTGGGGCAAGAGGGCATCATGCGGTGACTGGCAAATGAGAAAAGAATCTCAAAGAGAGATGGGCAGTTGAATAGGCCAGCGTTGTTGACGGTATAGCAGGCTGGTGGTTGTATAAGACGAAGATAAGAAGGTGCGACACAGTTGGAAACGATGGACCCTTAGGGGAAGTACAGGTGCTAAATGTGCTTACGTGAGTGGGATAAGATGGGCAGGGGCATATCAGCACCTACGAAGTAAGTAGGGAATAGCATGGCAACATGCAGTGGCACATGCAGCGGGTGGATGGATGGTGGGAATAGATGGACGGATGGATGCTATGGATGCCTCTGTGTGGACGCTTTGATTGATCAGGTGCTGCTACTTGTTGACTGGTTGGTTAGTTGGCTGTTTCGTTGGGATGGTTGTTCGACCGCTTGGAAGCACCAACGCTTGAACACGCGCTGCGCTGTAGTAATGCAATCTACTTCGTAAGCCATCTAAGCCCGAAGCAGGCGCCCCGAACGAAGGAATGGGGGATGTCTGCCAAGCTCTCACAAACTCGCACCAACCGTACCCACACAGTCGTCCATCTCCTGTCTCACGCCAGGTACTATCCCAGGTCAATGTGGACGTTTGATAGTGCTAAGACCCCGCCGGTAGCGGGCTGCTTCCAACCCGTACCTACTGACCTCCAATTGTTCGCCTACCTGCAGTGCCCCTCCACCACCACGATAAACCTGCTCACTAGTAGGTCCTGTACTAGTAGTCTGCAATTGCCTGGGGAAATGGCGACGGCTAATTGGATCATCGCTTTTCCCGAATTCACGAATCAGAAAACGCTAATACACCACGAGTACTGGATACAGAGCACCGGGTAGGGTAGCCTCTTGTCGCATCAACCACGCTCCTTCGTCCGCGGCGTAACGATGATGTAAAGTCAGAACCTCGCTTGTTGCTGGTTCCTCGCCCGCTACTGCCTTCTGCTCTGTCTAACATCCCGTGACCGAATGATTTGGGTTGACCGTGAACCATGTGTCCCTGGGCGACTGTGGTTGGTTGGTTAAATGGATTGGTCCGTCAAGTCCAGCAGTCCTGCTTGCTGTCTGTCCCACGCCTGCATTTGCATTATGAAACCCGCACTGCACAAGTCTTGTTCACATATATAAGCTCGGGGCGTCATAGCTGTCGTGTGTTCGAATGGATGCTTCATATATGCTAAGAGCGGTAGGTATGCGGCACTCTGGCCCGTCTGGTCGGCAAGTCTCGGGCGATCAAATAAACCCAGCATTTCTAAGATTCGCTTCGATTTCGTCCATATTCTGTGAATAATGCTAAATGAGTATACTTGCAAATGCATAGACTTGGTGCCTTCCCATCTTCCCATACGCCGTGCAGTCAATCAACCATTCCATGAGAGCCCATTTTTGCTTGTAGTAGGTACATGGGTATTCGTTACATGATTCGCGTCACTTCATCCTCGACCTGCCGAAAAGAAAACGCGCGTCAGTGGTCCGAAGACATGTCGGGGACGCACGGGGATCGTGGATGGGGAATATAGCACCAGAGCACGGCCAAATCGAGAAGAACAAAAGCAAATCTGCTTACCTCCATATCTTCCAGTGAGTCCTGCTGCCCTATACACCGCAGAACGTTCTTTTTGCTGCTTTCTTGGAGCTCGCCAGCGAGCAATATCTCGTCAAGGATATAATAAGCTTTGGTGAAGGAAAATATGATATCGAGCTCGCAAACATTGCCATAATATTTGTCCATTTGTTCGACGTATCGATGGATGATCTCGAGGGTGATTAATTCATTATCGTCGGACGAGCAGCCAGCTATGAAGAAGAGCGAGGCATAACGACGGTAGACAATTTTGGTATCTGAGCCACGTGTCAGAAAGCTGCCGTGAGAATACCGCTAGAGAGAGGAGCGAACCTTTGTATTCGAGAAAGTTACACATTCGAGTTCGCCTAGCGAGGACTAGCTGCGAAACGTCCTTGACGATCTTCGCCTTGTCCCTGGGAGACAGGGTGGTGAACCATTTCGCCAGGCGCTGGAGACGGTGTCATTGATTAGCTCCACGGTCGATATCGCCATCAAAGCGCTGAGAAAGGGTGAGATATCGTACCACTTTGCCCTGCCGGGATAGCAGGATTAAGTAGCTATTGTAATTCCATTAGCCCAAGAAACCTTTGGGATTATGGCTCGTCAGAGGCATACTTGATAGCCATGATGACGCGGTTACATCACCAGGAGCAAGGAGATATCGAGACAGTTGATGATGGTGATGAGTTTTAGAGATGACAGAGTAGCAGAGCTGGTATGGGGCACCTATGAGATGTGACGAAGCTTGTCAGGCTGCAGAACAATTTCTGGACAGACATTGGGGTTGGCCACGAGCGTCTGCATTGCCAGCTGGGGATCGGCTGCTCAATGATGTGGCGGCCCGTCAGCCTCAACGGTCTACCTAATACTTCGTATGTACCTAAGTACCTAAATATGTACTGTAGGTAGAATTTATGCAGCAAAACCTTTAGCAGTGCTTTAGATAGTAGATAAGCCACTCGTTTTGTCTGTTTCGCAGGGCTCACATTATGAAATCGCTTTGGGCCGGCTGCAGTTGCAATGTCTTGCAGCTTTGACGCATGACATGACTGATGACCAATCACATAGAACGGTATCGCTAGTTTTAGATAACGTCAGACGAAGCCTTGATATCACCATGTTGTTTTTGCTACGCAGATATGCTCTCATGCTCGGTAGGTAAGGTGGCTACAGGATTGGATCGTGCTGGGACACTAGGTGGGTAGATGAGGAGCGCACAGCATAGGCATCCGATGGCAACATTACACTCAACCATCGCATGCTATTCGCGGCTTGGAGTTTGAATAGAAAACTGGCTGTATCACCCACGGATGTAGGTGCCTGCCATCCCGTGGGGGTCTGGAAGACGCTCCGTCCCGTCCTCTCGGCCCTTTACGAAGTAGACCTGGCCTTGCCAACCTGGCCAACAACGCTCTTTTCCCTCCGCCCAACTGATGTTGCAATCTCCGGTGATTATTAAGTACGCTTACAAAGTACCCGCATTGTGCCTGGTTGTGCCACCCATTACCAATCGCGAAGCCGTGTGCAGGGCGCGCGGACGGCGCTAGCTAGATCACTTTTCGTTACCCTGACCTTGGCTCTCTCTGACGCCTTTCCCCAAACCCCACCTCATGGCAACCGAGTCGGGGATATAAATTATAGAAGAAGGTGTTAGTATTTTCTTTCCTCCACCCCGCCGAGTCGCTATTACCCGGTGTCGTACGCTTGTTGGACAATTGTTGTCTCTTCTTGTAGTCATATACCGCCGGGGCTCATTGAGGCACAACATACCTTTCGTTCTGACCTCTTAGCCAAACGATAAGCCCCTGGAGTGCTTCTACAATTCTTAGCCATGACACGGATAGTATTATCAACCGGCAACATTATTACAGGTGGCCCCTCTATCATCCGAAAGCCCGGCACGACAAGGTCGAATCTCGAACTTGTGAATTCGTTGAGGAATAACTTCCAAGCCGCACAACAAGACTATGCTGGCAGTCCCACCAGCACTAATGGTGATAAGAAGGAGAATGGGCATCCAGTATGCGAGAACAGTCGGCCGAGGATAGATGCCTGGACTGCGACGGAAGACTCCGTCTTGTACATCCCGCGCATCGATTGGACGGCCGCCGGCCTGCAAGAAGACCGCGCCCAGTACGAAATCACTGTCAAATTATTTTTCCTGCCCACCGCCCCGGTGGTCAAGCGCGCAGAGTATATTGACGAGGCATTGCGACTTGTGACAAAAGAACTCGGGGTAGAGAATGTCGACCTCTTGATCGCGTCATTTCCCGGCATATCGTTCGAGGGGGACTGCGAATGGGAAGCAGATAAGATAAATGCGACGATGGGAAATGATGAAGAGGAGGTCGTGACGTGGGCCGCATTGGAGAACCTGTACGAGCAAGGAAAGGTTGCTCGGCTGGGCATTGCCGAATTCGGTAGCGAGAAGCTGCAGCGCTTCATCAGCCAAGTCAAAGTGCCGCCGGCCGTCGACCAAATCAATATCAAAGACTGCTGCAGCGTCCCTCCGCCCTTGACAAAGCTCGCCACCAGCGCAGGAATCGAACTACTTACTCATGGTGACTGCACCGATATATTACCCAGTGGTACGTTACGAGAACTTCTAGGACATGGCGCGCAGGGTGCCGGCATCCTCGCCGGTGATGAGAAAACGCAGAATGGCCTCCAAGGCAATCTCATTCCTCAATGGGTAGCCAAGTATACTGCTTTCGTCAATTATAGAGGCGTCATCGAGAATAAGGGCTATTTTGCGGGAGCCGAATTGGTAAACGCGTAGAAACGGTCTGCATTTGCATTTCTCTGAGCACATTCAGGATTGTGTGCGCTTAATTCTGGACATCATGGCGTTGAGCAGGTTGCATAGATCATATTTGGAGCAGAACAAGTCAGCCATACATTTTTAAGTCCCTAATTTTAGGATCACGGAATGAAAATGCACGTTACGATATCGCATTGCGATATCTCATCACGATTGACTGTTGACTTCGCATCTTGGAGGTTTATCAGAATCAACCTAATTAGCCTATCATGCTTCTCTTCCGACCTCGCATGCGTACGTCTTCTAGTTTCCTAAGCACTATGGGCGCTTCTTTGAACGTCTCCTTGTACGCGCTTTCAAGCATAGCAGTGAAGAGCTTTTCTGCCCGGGGATGTGTGCTGGAAAACGCTCTCTCCAACACGTAGAGATCCACGGCTCGGTCTTCGTGAGACACACTTTGACTAGCAAGACCAAAGTCAATGATGACAATGTCGCCTTCCAACAACCCGTCACCTTCCACGCTGTGTCCATTCGCAGGCTCCTTGCCTCTTTCCCATGGCGTCAACATCATATTGCTTGTTGTCAAATCTCCGTGTACGATGCCGACTTTGTGCATGCGTCCTATAGCTGTGACTATTCGTCGCAGCAAAGCGACTAGATCTGCATCCGCCTCGCCGGTGCCCTCAACCATCGCATCACCCGCCCTGCCTTCGGCGCGTTCAGCATCACGCCGTCGACGCAGCCACTCATTTATAGCGGCGCGCACAGGGCCTCCGGCAACCCATTCCATCATGAGCCATCCTGCACTCTCGTCGATGGCGTAGACGGCGGGGACAGGGACGCCTTCACGGCGGCATTTCGCGAGGTTACGGGCTTCGGACAGGATGCGGTGACGTGTCAACCGTGCATCGAGGAGAGGATGCCGCCACGGTTTCGGCGGCCGGTATTTGACAGCACACGGAATCGAGGGCAGAAGATATGTCGATTTGTATAAGCGGCCCTCTGCACCTTGCGTGATGAGCTCTGGTGGGGTGGAGGAGGGGTATTCGAGGATCGCAGGGAGGGGAAATTGGTGGGTGGCAGTGTCGGCCGCCATGGTGGAATGCAATGGAGGTATTTAGGCTCTTTTTTTTCTTTTTTTTCTTTCTCGATATTCCGCGTAGTGTCTCTTTCCCCTCTCTCTCCTCTTTTTTTTTTGTTTCCCTTTCTCCCGGATTGAAGTGTAGCAGGGATCCGAGGTTGGCGATCGAAGAAGACTGGCTCGACTGGCTCATGCGTTTTGCATGATGACAAAAATCAAACTACCCCGCCATCTATTACCTGGCACTGTAGGTACCTTGCCTGCTAAGATTATCGCTGTAGGTACCTAATTACCTAACCTAGGTACAGTAAGTAAGCCCTACCATAGCCTCTATATAGGTGCACTACTGCAACTGTACCGCTGTACCTACAGTAGGTATCGGGTAAGTGGCTGCGGCTAGAAAAGACACAGAACTTGGAAGACACACAAAACCGCCTGACAAAGGCATGTTTTCTCAGCTCCGATGTGCTACAGCTAGGCCAGAACTAGTTCATCAAGCCTGGGTAGAACGTGCAGGATCTTGACTCGACGATAATAATGCATGACGTGGAATGCAAGGTAATGATCCCGTCTCTCGAACGGTTACACGTAGACACGTAGAAGAAGTCCCTACATGTAAGATTCGTTGCATTTTAAATTACATCTCTCCAAGTTCGCATCAGCAATAGGGGGGTTCTTCAATGTGTTATGTGTTTCAAGCTCTTCGCTGCAAAGTTATATACGCTACCTACTATCCCCCATGCCCCATTACTTTGGTGGACAGACTTGGACAGACTTGGACTTGCTGAGATTCCCATTCCCAACATTTCCAAAACACACCGCTCCCAAGATCGCTACTAGGCATCCTAGCGGTCCGAGCATCGCACGATACCTGCCCTTACTGGGCTAGGTGGACAGAGGTGGGCTACATTCGACAACAGGCAGTGAACAGGTGACCGCTGCTCTGCTGGCGGCGCTGTCCCTCCCAGGGGGCCGGCCAATCCGTATGCATCCTGTGCCTCCGACCCCATCCGGCTGCGTTAGAGGGGGGTCTAAAAGGACCATGGACGCGGCTTTTTTGCAAGTTCCATCATGGATTCTCTCTCTTGATTCCGTTACCTGCAGCAGAAGCGCAGCATTGGCGACAGTCGACCCGTCATGCGTGTCATTGTGCTCAGCAAGGTCAGCGTCCGTCCTGCATGAGCCAGCAACTATTAAAACGACGAGTCCCCCCGTTCCCGTGCGTCCGTCTTCCTCAGTACGACAATCAACCGATTCCAGGGTAGCTGGCTGGCTGGGCACTTAGGGCTAGGGAAGAAATTCCAGAAGAATCGTCGCATTTCGCCCCTCTCGTCTAGGCCCAACCAACCAGCCACCCCCGATCCAGTCCAGAAAAGCCGCCCGCCCACTCTCGCACACACCCGCGGATATCTGCACTGAAAAGGGGAATGCTGAACGTCATATTGGTCGCCTCACCACCCAGTATCCCCCCCCAGCAACAGTCAGCACCGTTCGCGATCCCTCCAACTGCAAACCCCAGAGCAACAACGACGCGTTTATCATTCTCTATGGTCCCCTACCGCCTCCGCCTCAAATTCGCACTATGGCGGAGCCCTCCTCCTCGCTGCTGTGGACCATAGTCCTGCTCGTTAGCGCTGCCCCGATCGCTACAACATACGCCAACGCATACATTGCAGCCCCGCGCGAGGTCATCACCTTCATCGACGCCGTTGAGGGCTCCATAGAAGAAAATGAAAACTACGATTGTGATCTTGCTAAAGTGCCGCGGTTGGAAGACAAGGTGCGCCTGAGCCGACTTTTGCGCGAAATTCAGAAACAGGGCGATGACTTACGCGAGGATCTAAATCAACTGGTAATAGAAGAAGGCGGAACCACTTTGCGCGTCAGTGCTAGAATATTTTGGGCGGGCCACAGGAAACAATTGGAAGAGCGAGTGCGCCGGCTAGACATGTTGCGCATGCGATTCCTCGTGGTGTTCATGGGGGTTGTAACAACAACGGCGAGCGAGCACGCGGCGAAGGTAGCTGCCGCACGAACAGCACCTAGACACCCGGTGAGAGCAATCCCGCCACCTCCGCCTCCACCGCCGCCGCCGCCGCCAGCAGCAGCACCAGCAACTCCTCGAACACCAGTAGGACGACTTCAGACGCAGGCCATGGGCCATAGCGAGAAGACGGCTCATACGCATAGAAGTGGCTGGTTCGGCGTCGTCCAGGAGTTGGAACGATCCCCCATATTGCGTCAGCGACACGCTTCCATCGAGGCAGCCATGCGATCTCCCGAACAGATGACGCCGATTGGAAGTCCATTATCGGCGATGAAGCCTGTCAAGGGATCATCGATACCTGAAAACTTGGAATTGTAGTGTCGCACCTCTGAAGCAATTGCGGCATTTCCACGACGTTCACCGCTTCAATGCTGGTGAACCGTGGACCTTCTCTCAACTCGTAGGCATGAATCGGCAAGCAAACCATATGCCACGATACAACCATATGATTTATGGCTTGATGATGAAACGAAACGAATTCACGTGAATTTTAAAAAGACTCTAATCTATCCCCATGGGCGATAATGAGCATTTCTGCTGGTGGTCTACGGAAGGACAAGAACTACACGCCTGGCTAGACGATTCAACGGATCATGACTTCTCCGTTTGACCACATACACGCCCTTTACAATTTCCTAAAGGTGTTAAAAAGGTTTCTTCATCTCATTGAATGATACCCCCTTATTTTTTTATGCATGGCATTTGTTATCAATTGCCTTTTTATTTTATTTTGACAACTGATCTGCCCTCAACGTCACTCATTACGGCTTCGTGCCAGTCATTATATCGCATCTCATACTTCATACTTCACACTTCTTCCTTCACTCTCCCTGCTTACCTAACCCCCTTTTAGTCTTAGTATTTTAGTTTTGGGTTTTCTGGTTTTAGATACAGTGTGTAACACATCGATGGTGTAAAATGGGCCTAACCGGGGATTGGAAAGGAAAACGGCTCATTTGGAGAGGCTGACAGGCACGGATGGCTGGATGAATGGGATACATGAATCGACGGGAAGATGAAGGCTTGACTTTATGATCGTGCGATGCATATATAGAAAAAAAAATTACTGAATTCTCCCCCAATCTAGAAATGTTGGTGTAAAGGCGTCTTTTTACTACCTGACCAACACTTGAGCAAGATGCCTGTACTCTAGTATTGAATTTCTGAATGTACAAGACGCACGGCCTTCGCATTCTACACATATATTCCGCTTTTAAACCAACAAGGCATCCTAGTGCTGGACATCGTCCGGCCCTGTGGCATTTCTCTCGCCCACTGTCGAGCCGTTAGCAAATCCGTGCCCTGCGGATTCCGATAGGGCGGCGAGCAGCTAAAGCTGGGGACGAACATACCATCTAATGCCACGAGGAATCGGCTGACACAGTTATAAGCAGCGACCTGGCGAAAGTTAGATAGAGCGATGATAATGAAAGAAAGTGAAAGTATCAGCGTAGTAGGTGTAGAAGAAAAATAGGAGGAAGAAAGGAGAGAGGGGGGAAAGTGAAAAATAAATAAAACAAAATAAATAAATATTAAGATTGAAATTGAAATAAAAGGATAAAAAGAAATTGAAGCCAGAATCAACGTTGAGAGAAAAAGAAAAAAAAAGATTCACCGTGGCAGTAACCTCCACAACCTCCCTCTCATCGCAAACAGCCCTAAGCGCCGCAAACGTATGATCCGCAACGCGCACCACGCGCGTCATCTCATCCGTATACCTGAGCACAGCCCACTCCCTGGGTCCCAAGCCGTCGTCTTCAGCAGCGCTCTTCTCCTCGTCACCAAGCGCGTCCCAACGCTCCCTCTTCACGAGTTCCAGGGCGCGCGGCCCGAGCCCCGCGGCCGCCGCGAGGGGCGCGTGATGGGCCCATTCGTACCACGCCGCGTTGCACACCGCGACGCGGCAGATCGCGAGCTCGCGGAGGCGCGGCGACAGGAGCGTGCGCGTGCGGACGGCGCCTAGGAACGCGTTCCATCCGTCTGCGACCGGCGGGGAGTGCAGGAGGGCGAGGTCTAGGGGTTGTAGGGGGCGGGGCGCGCGGCGGGCGGCGATGCGGGAGAGGATTGCTGCTTCTTCTTCTGTGGAGGTCGGGGGTGGGTTGGGGACGTATGGGATGCGCATTTTCGAGGCGTGCGGTGTGTTGAGGGGGAAGGGAATGGGATGATGCTTGAAGAGAGGGGTTTGTGGTTGGATAGCCTGCCTTCGATGAGTTGGCAGTGAAGCATGCGGCTTCTGCTGGGGATATCCTTGGGTGAGCTGGTGTTTGATGAGGGGGTGGAAGTGAATGTGTATGTATGGGCTTGCTCTTAGCTGTGAGATGGTGTTGGATTTCGTGGGCATAGAAGTTCTCTGGCCATCAAAAGAAACCCTAATAATGGCAGATACGAAGAGTTATTATACTCACGTGGCACTTGTGATGGTATGGAGTTAATCTAGACGCCAAAATGTCCTTCTTACCTGAGGTCGGGAATGAAGTCTAATACTACCATTGCTTTTAGCTCGAGTGCCTATGCCGAACAACGGATCCGAGGGGAGACTTGCCCCCGCGTGAACGCTTTGCCGGGTCCGCCGACCTTATCCGATCGGCCAGCTCTTTTCCGACAAGGCTAAGGTGACTGCAAATGCTAGCATAGCGTTCACGGGTTTCTAGCAAAAGTTATAAGGAGAGGAGTCAAAGAGTCTTGATCCGCATGATGCAGTTATGTGATTAACTATATATACGAGTTGGTGGGCTGGCATGTCAACTGAACTCGGATAGAGTAGACTTCTGAAGGGTATCCTATCTAGAGATGACACCTATTGAACAGACTTGAGACGATAAGACATCTCAACCTGAAACAAAATTGAAGTTCAGCGTAATAGCCGCGCCGCACTTTCACCTTCTATGGCTCGGGCGTTCATGCGTGGAGCTGCTTTCTCCCTCTCCGGTGTAATCTGGCACTGTTCCCTCGATGAGGGTGAAGAATGGCGACCTCATCCTCCCAGGTCGCTTCAGATATATACTAAAAGCCATAGTAAAATAAAGCCATGAAAATCTCTTCTTTTGAGCCGCCCAGACGCCATGCAAACCAGTTGGTGGAATTCCATACTCTGTTGTCCTGCCCTACGTATACTCCCGAAATGCAGCTGAAATATCGGAAAAAAGGAAGAGAATGATTATCGTCATAAGTCCATTGATTAAAAATGTTGGTTACAGTCGCGATGTAGAAGTACAACACGTAAGCGAAGAATCGAAGTATGTGAGAAGTAAACGATTATAGCGCTAAAGTAATGTTATGTTGTCAGTGTGTGTTATACTGTAAAAGGCTGGCGTGGTCGACTGTCATGTGAAATTGTGTCAAGATATATCTGGGGATCAGTAGGCCGGTGTAGGAGAAATCGATCCATTAGAAGCAAGAGCATCCTTCCCGTTAACAAGATCGGGTGAAACGCGTCCGTTGACAGGCTGGGCCGTGATGACAGGGCTGCCTTTTTCGGGCGTAGGCCTCCTTGAAGTGGCGGTGGGCTCTGGCTCCTCTACGATCGTTGCAAACTTCTTAAGAACCCGCTTAAGAGCCGGCCGGCGGATGGGTTTGCTGAGAAACTCATTCATGCCAGACTCTATACAATTCTTGACATTGCTTTCGTCAGAAAATGCGGTCAATGCCACAATGGGCGCAGAATAACCAATTTCTCGTATCAGGCGCGTGCTCTGCAGCCCATCTACGTTGGGCATTTGGATATCCATGAAGATCAGGTCAAAATCCGTCTTATTCTCCATATTCGCCTTAACCAAGTCGTAGGCTTCCTGTCCGTCCTTGGCGATGGTAACATCGTATACGTCTTCCAGTTTTAGCATGCGACTGACGACCTCGATGTTGGTAGGATTATCTTCCGCAACTAGCACACGTAACTTCCCTTCGCCTTTGTCTGCACGTGCTTTTTCCGCGGCTTTCATTTGGTCGTCCGGTGTCGGCTTATTCCCAGCTTTCGGGACTGCAGCGAAGAATGGCTGACTTAAACCAACAAGTCGGGGCTGCTGATCTAGGACGCTTGCTTTCACTTCTGCGCTTGTCTGTGGTAAAGAACTCCTCCTCAAATCACCCTCAGCTGATATGATACTGTTTGGTCGTGACTTGACACTACTTGAAGCAGTACTTGAGGATCTAGGTCTGGTGTCAGTTGTTGTAAATATAGAGGTTCCGATCATGCTCAGTCTTACCTCTCTTTGGTGTACTTAAGTGGGATGCGCATAGTGAAAGTGGTACCGATTCCAAGAGTACTTGTCATTGTTATAGCGCCACCCATCAGGTTGGCCAACTGTTGGCAGATACTTAGACCAAGCCCGGTTCCACCATATTTCTTACTTAATCCAAGGTCGCCTTGAACAAATGGCTCGAATACTCTTGTTCTCATATGTTCCGGAATACCTGGGCCAGTATCCTCTACTTCAAATTCAAACATGAATGGCTTTGCATGTATTGGTGGCGGGGTTTGGGAACGTTCGGCGGAAAATAAGTGCGGTGCCATCTTTGGATCTAGGGGGTTGATCGATAAAGCGGTCCCAGGTATAGGTGTCTCTCGAGATATTGCCGAGGCATTGGATAGGGAACCACCTCGGTGTTGAACCCGTCCCTGGTGGCTCGGTGAATTCCGTGAGAACGATGAGGTCCTGCTCTCGTCGCTCACTTCAGCTTCGCCTATACACTTGATACGGACAGACACCCTTCCCTGAGCGGGTGTAAATTTCAAGCTGTTGCTGACAAGATTGATCAACACCTGTAAAATTCTATGCTGATCGCCCCAGAGGTACATATCTTGCAATCGACCAACCCCACGAGGACCCAGGACTGGAAGCTTCTCCTCAAAACTATTGCGCTCAGCGTTCTGGTGGTCTGGTTCGACAACATCGGCACCGAAGAATTCGACAGAGAACGTAATCTGACCTTCACGGGCCTGCTTGTCGAAAATCGTAAGGATTTGTGATCGGATATCACCCAGTCGAAATTCCTTCTCGTCGAGGCTAAGTTGGTGACCAATCTGGTTCTTCGAAAAGTTAAGGAGATCTTCTAACAAGTGAAACAGCAAATCGCCTGACTTATAAAGGACTTTCAACGACTGCTTGATGCGTCCTAAGTCGTCCTCTTCCATACACACTGAGGCCATGCCTAGGATTCCGTTCAGTGGGGTTTTCAGCTCATGCGAGATGTTAGCAATGAAAAGTGTTTTGCTCTCATTAGCCGCCTCTGCCGCCTTTTTGCTTTCCTCGAGCTCTCGTGTTCTTTGTGCAACCTTGTCCTCCATCGAAGTATATTGTCTCAAAAGTTCGTCGCTCATCTCGTTGAAAGTCGTCGTCAATTCTGTTAGTTCATCCGTAAAGATGTGCTTGCGGTTAGGTACTTTGCCAGGGATCTTAAAAACATGCCGGCGAGACTCGCTAGGATGCTCTGATGGCGGAGGCCGTGGTTTTAGGTTCTTCCTATACCATCTCTTGATTCCCGTGAACATGCCCTGTGACATCTTACTACTAGTTCGGCCGGACGTGGCGTGATCTTCGTCATAATCTGGATCATCCATATATGCTTCGTCATAACCCGGGGGGGCAATCGATTTCTCAGTTGCAGCCTTCAAGCGTCGGATTGGTTTTACACTGAGATGGGCGCAGGGAACAATAAATAACAGCACCACTCCCGTGGTTCCAAACACTGTACCAAGCAGAATATGCTGCAGTGTGTTGATGGGAATGAAAGCCTCCGACCTAGCTTGCTCGACAATAAGAGTCCAGTTGACCAGTGTAGTTGGGGGACGCGCATAGCCAACTGCCACCGCTACACCTTGTTCATTTGTCGTGGAAAGAATACTACTCGCATTATTAGTCGCACGATTAATGTGCGTAAAGGCCTTGTATGCAGCATTGTACTCGGTAACCTTGAACGGTTCATTGTAGGTTCCAGATGCGAAATCGTGTTGTCTATGCCTGTTCGTTTTTCCGTCAGAGACATTAGGTGGGAAGACAAATTGTACATCAACACTGGAGAAATTGGCAGCCGCGGGGCTAGTCGAGTTCGCAGGCAAATTATATTTGCTGAAGCGATTCCAGCCTGTGGCAGGTCCTATGAGCAGAACCGTTCCAGTTTCACCCAGACCTTCCGGAGAGAGCACAATATCGAGGATTGTAGTCGCTTCCGCAACCACAGTCATGTAGCCAAGCACGGCACTCCGCATCCGCAGCCACCGAATGGGCACTGTTAAAGAAACCAAAGCGTATGTCTGATTAATAACGAGGGGTCCTAGTACAAGACCATCGACTCCTGAATCAATGCGTATGTCGGGAAAAGGTCGGGCTATAACGAAGGTGTTGTTCGGATCGAAGGGGTCGGGATCTGTGCTGTTGTAGTAGGTAATGTTAGGATAGAGCACCGGCGGGTAACCGTATGTCGTGTCCCCCAAGAAAACATCGGAGCCATCAGGGGCCTTGTATGGCAGCCGGATATCAGAGATGTTATCGGCTGTCACACTAGCAAGGCCGCTAGGATTTCCGGTTTCGTTTCGCGAGAATAATTTGGCTTGTAGCAGATTCAGGGAACCGCCAGAGTTGAGGCCAGTTTGTAGATCGCGTACGGCCGAGACCCAGTTTGCGTCGGTCTGGTTGCCCTGGTAGAAGCTGAGAAAGCCAGCCTGAACCAACAGCCTCGTCGCGATCCCAATACAGGATGTCGAGATGAGATCCAGTTGGTTGGCAATCTGGGCGGCTTTGAGTGAAGCGGTTAAGGCGAGGCCATCGGATTCGACATTAACTACAAATCTGTGGACATAAACCCACGTCGGAACGGCCACGATAGTGAGAGCAAGCAAGACAGCCAACAGCACTAGGGCGGCCAACTGCTCACGAATGGCGATCCTCATTGTTTCCCGGCCTACAGGGGAAGGGGATGGTCAAGAGACGTCGGCATATGCATGGTTCCAACGCAGTTGTCGCGACCAGGTGCGACTCGGCGCCACGAAAGAAGCACGCGGAAGGGACCAATGGAAAGCGAATCTCAACGGTATACCAGTAATGACAAGAATGGGCCCGAATGACACAGTCCGTAGAGCAGTGGATACCTGGCAATTGAAAAGAGAGAGAGAGAAAGAGAAAGACTGGCTGGGCTAGTTCTAAGCAAGAGATGAGGTGCAATGTAAGTAGTGATGGGATGCGGCGCTGCGCTGCGATGTGATGCGAAGGGAGGACACCGAGAACCACTACGATGTACTTGGCTGGGAGCGCGCAAGACGAAGAAGGGATCGACAGAAGCTTAAGTTCCTCACATCTGCAAAGTGGGCGGCGTAGGCTGTACTGTACCACGGCAGGGTTACTGTTTCCAGATTAGCATTGCCAGGATGGCCAGGATTGCACAGGAGGGACCAAACTTCTGCGAGACTACGAAGAACGATGACTAGCCGGGTAATTTTGGGGTGAGACGGTAGACCGATGCGATTACCTACATGTCATGGCCTGCCTCGCCGGGCTCTGACCACATATTCTTTACGTATGTAAGTAGGTATTCAGAGGCGAGCGATACGACCAAGCACGCAAAGCAAAGCCTGCAGGCTCACAGGATCAGCACAGGACTCCCAGCTGTCGTACACACTACCTATGCAGACATATATCCCGCACCAACTTCCGTGGTATGGGGAACTTGGATAGTCTGAGCGAGTAAGGCCAAGTGTCTACGGTGGCGTATGTGTGTCAGGGGTATGAAAAGCTCCGAGAGGGAAGCGTCTACTACCTAAGTATGGTACGGTAGGTATGCATCTCCATGACTTACATATACTTACTCAGCTGCGTGGTTCATCAACACGGAGCAATGGGAGAGATGCCAGGCGAGTTGTTTCAAGTCCTGGATAGTAGGTACGCCCATCCCTCTCTACAATACAGTATCTAGATTGAATGGTGAATAGCCTCTTATTGCTCAGCTACATACTGTGGTACTGTATGGAAGAGATATAACACTGCAGATACCTACTCACCTTACCCTGCGTCTAACCCTACCTAAGGAAGGTATTACCCTAGGTAGTTGGAGTTGAGACGCTCTAAAGTAGGTAGGTCTCGCTTGTATAACATACCTAAGTATACAGTAGTTCAGAAGTGATGGATGAGGTGTTATGTAGGTAATACGGTATACTTATCAAGTTATGGACTTGCAGCCCTTCTGGCTCTAGGCTACACGCATACAGAAGGTTTCGCGATGATACTTGTTGCGAATCTCGTATGCTCAGTGCTCCGTAGCAACTTTTTTTTTTTTTCTCCCTCCTCGGAGGACTTCTCGTACAGACCACCGTATTTACTATATTAGGATTCAGTACCGTAGGCTAACACCAAGGTCTGACCAGGTAGTACAGTGCCAATCCGATGGCAATTTGTGAAGTGGTGAAGCGAACGAGCTGGCCATGTCCTTGGCATAAGGAACTAACGCGGGCTTGGCATCTCGAACTGGGAGTTTCGCGAGTCTGGCTGAAGCTGGGGATGGTCTAGACTTTGTGGAACATGGACTTTGCGCTGGGCGTGGAATCCACATCGTCACTGCGAGCGAGGCAAGTTGTGTACACGGATTGATTTTACCTACTTCGTGAGTACTTCACAGCCGCACATCATACATAGTACTGTACACACCTCCGCACACCACAGCCGCACTGGGTAATATAGGTCCTCCTCCAGCGACTAGTGGTGTGGTGAATGATTGCTTGGATTGGACATTTATTTGTGCTAGATGACCGCATGTAGGTCTACTATGCATGACAAAAAGATGTCTACTACTCGTCAAGGTGCTTAAGTATTTGCATGTTGACCAGGTGCCTACAAAACAGCACAGAAACAGCATAACACATACCCAACACATACCTACATACTATAGTATAACACATAACACGTGCGGTAGCACGGAGAAAAACACCTGCACGTACATACTTACATAGTCCAATCACCGCGCCTCGCTTAGTCCAGCCAGATTCAAGTTAGTGGACGAGCTATGTACAGGAGGAAGACATCTTGGATCGGACGCTTTGCGTTGAGATCGCACTCGAACATCAGGCCATTTACATAGTATGTACACTGCTCTTCCCTCCCACAGCTAGGTAGGCGAGGTAGGGACACGACTAAGTATAGTGGATATCGAATTCGCATCAAATTCCCGGACATACCGGGTCCTCCACAGCCACGCATTGCTGGGTTGTGTATTTTCCATTAGGCGAGATACTAGTTACCTACCTACTCGACTACTTACCTAGGTAGATTACCTGGTACCTAGGCTAGCATCGGTAATACCTACTTGACTCTTGGCCTCTGAAACACTCACTTTGCACACTAGCTAAGTATGTGAGAATGGATCTTTAATTTCACTGAAGATGGTTAGTTTGCTTAACATCCTTCATCCATGTAAGTAAGATATAAATCCTGGAAGTGGAATAGGAGAATATCGCATAGCTGCATATAATCTGTAGTCAGGTATACCAACTCGAATATAAGATTGTTATGCTATAAAGATATAAGTATGCATCTACACATCATACTACCTCGTAGAGACAGGTCCTGCGCACGAACATTCAACGCGATATGAATTATCGGGCCCAGCAAACTTCCGTCGTCTTGGATCTGTTTGGCTACCAACCTCACTAACCTGCAGAGAGCACCGTGATGCTCGCAGCGATAAAGCACCGACGACATGATTACTCATACCTAGTGACAGGTACCTATCAGTCGTCGCGGTAGCTACACTCCATCGGCAGAGTATCTGCTGTAGTATACACAGCGTTTTCTTCGCATCTTTCTGATCATCGATCCAAAGCGGAACCCGTCTAGCTTCACAATCCCAAATCCCATAACCATTTTCTAGTCTCGCATGATCGTGGGGTCACCCAGTGCCTGCCTAGGTACCTTAGTCAGTGGATACATGGCGAGTAATAGAGCGAGATACGTGGGTAGGCAGGCCATTGCAGAATAATAGCATCTACAGTACGTTCATAGATGCGACCTTGTAACGAACCTACTGTAAGTAGAGAGATGCGTTGCGGAATCTGCGTGATCGGTTACCCAGCAAAATCCACTCATGACAGAATTCACACCTGTGCAGATGGGTACTGTAACCGATAAATCTTCTAGCCACGGACTGACTACCTATCTCTTTGCAGACATGTGAAATGGCAATCCCTTAAGTATAAGACTGGAGTAGGTAGTATGTAGTGATGTCAATTCGTTCATCATTTCCACAGCGACACAGCCCGTTCCCTCAACTAGTCCAATCCTTCGTTGTTATATTCAGCGACGTCTACACCACGCACGACGACAGACTCGAACCGGAAACGGTCCTCGCACCCGTGATTTGGGACAGAAGGAACCCCAGCCGTACCGAGATAAGCTTGCAGCATGCGGCTATGCCATCTGCCGGCGTCCGTTGGCTTAAGCGGCGAACATGATATCCTCTTCGCAGCGCACAGCAGCATGTAGTACGACACTGCAGCGCGCGGCGAGCCAGTCCGAAAACCGGCTTGAAAAGCACGCCATATCTGGACAAAAGGTAACAAAATGGACGACGTTTTTCACTATAGTAAGTAGTCCTCTATATTAATAGTTGAACGCTATCGCACCTAGGCTGTACTTACGATGCGGAGGTTCGTCTTCTGCTATTGCGGTTAATCTAAATAAAACAGATGGGCGCTCCTGTAAGGCTGCGTCGTCTCGAGTCCGAGACAGCCAGCCCCTTGTCTCGGGGTGACATGCTCGGGGCGCACTTGTGTCAACTATTTGATATTGCTCTGCCCAGATACTACATTACCGTCCACTCAGAACGAAAGAATAGGAGGAAGAGATGGGATACGAGTGTCCCGCTACATGAAGCACGAATCCTCAAAAGCGGCGTCCCATCCAATTCAATCCAGTTCATGGGCGGGGGTTGTAGTACGACAGAAGGACTTGTCCTATGGTGTGAACGTTGTTCGGCGTCTTTTTCTCTGTTTAAAAATCCCTTTTTGTATATTCATAGCATCTTTGGTCTTAGTCTCTATGGCTTATATATGAACTACGAGAAAATGGGCAGAAACCTAAGGATTTTTAAATTGGTCTTTTCTCATGCATCGTCGAGATTTTGGATTATTCATGGGAACACAGCCGTCTCCTATCGGAGAGTTGCCTGTGGTCGATGGGACACGAAAACGGCTGTCGTACACCATGTCGCACGGCAGTTTGAGGCTAAGAAGAGGGGAACTGATATATTAGAGTCAGTATATGCAGATATTGTCTTCCTCAATGTCAGGAATGCTTAGACGGTCCGGCTTGGTCTGGCATGTTCCAGTACTCTCGACCCATCTCCTCCTAAATATACGTACGGAATTGGTAGAAGAACATTAGACTCGAAGACTATTACCGCGCCGGCCATGGCACCAAAGATAGAGATGGATTTTGTGACATCCACCCCTATGTCACCATCTGGGGAAGATTCGGTCGAACCGACGACGATCACGGATACTTTTGATATTACCCCGTCGACTGCTGCGTTTCCGCTCTTTCTCCCCCCCTTGACTACGATATTTACGCCTCCAACACGTTGTCAGGGTCGATACTACGTGACAGAGACAGAAGGATTCGACCTTATTAGGGATATCTACAGCGGTTCTGAGGACGCGCTATATCAATCATGTCAACCATTCCCGGATTTGTCTGCCACTTTCTATAGTCCAGCAGCTTGCCCGCACAATATGGATATCGCGATGACTTTAGTTGACATAGGTGGAACTGACACAACGAGGGTGGATATTTGTTGCCAAAGGCACGTATGATGGCTGACGGCCAGGAATTTCAACAACATAAGCCTAATACTGGTGGATGATTTACTAATAAAATATTTCCTGCTGACAGTGGGTTCACCGTCTGGGAAATCCATTCCTGTTACTCGCTAGTTTCGACGACAACTATGGTCCTCTCGGCCCCTACAGCGTCCGACCATAATGATTTTGTCCTAGTCTCCTCAGTAACTGCATGGCATACTGCCATACTGGCTGCCTGGGAACTCGCTGACCTACCACTTTTCCCTTCGGAAGTGAGCAGTAGAAAATCATCCATAGCGAAGTATGGATGGGCAGGGCCTTCAACTAGTACGACATCGGTACCGTTGGCATCAACAATGCTGGAGAGCAGTTCACCTGCACCAGAAGATAGTGACAAGTCTGAAGGCATATTATTGAATCACGGGGTAATTGCTGGCATAGTTGTCGCAGCTGTCGCTTTTCTTGGTTTTGCCGTGGCGTCAATCTATGCTTACAGACGGCTCCGTCAACGACAAAATAGACCTGGTGGAATGGGCACGGTGTTGCCTGATAATCGAGGCACTTGGCTAGGGAATGCATGGAGAACTGAAATGAGTTCACCAGCAACTCCTAGCCAACTTCCTACAGATGAAACCCGTGGCCAAGGTCCCGGGAAGCCAACACCAGTTGAGCTGGATAGTGGGTCGGCGATAAGCCCAATACAGAGTCAGGGGTGCCGAAGCATTGTGTCGTCTATCTCACACCAAGTTGCCTCGCTCAGCCCGGCACTTGTCACAAAGTCAGCTGAGAGTAAAGACCATGGGGAAGGAACAGAAGCAGGGGACAAGGAGCCGTGTCAGAAGAATTGAGAAGATTGTATAGATACGCGGTTTTTTTCGGCACATGCCATCGAAGACCTGGATATCCAGACTCAACGGCATTCGCTGGCCCCGCGTGCGTCATCAGAGCAAGAAAAAAAAAAAAAGACTCATGTAGCTGTGCATTTTCTTACCTTAGGAAGCTTCAGTGTAGTCCTCAATTATCCCAGTGCGCCCCATACTCATGCTCATGCCAGAAGCCAGAGATGATAGTCTGGTAGACACAAACTCCGCCATTTGCTTAAATAAGTGATTACGCTTCGGGTCGGAACTTTCCACGCTTCTCCTTCATGGCCATAACCTTTTTCCTGTCCTCGTCGAACTTTTTCAGAAGATTCATCTGTTCCGCCTTTCGCTTTTCGCGCAGTTGGAATCGGTAGAAATTCTGCGTCTCGTCCTTCTTCTTCTGCTCGCGGTCGAGCATCTTCTGCTTAGCCTCCTCTGCCTCGTCCCGTCGCGCTGGCGCGCTGCGACCACCGCGAGTGACCATGACGAAGCCATCCTCGTCTGGCTCGTTGCGGAGTCTCTTGGCCAGCTGTTGTGCCTCCTCTTCCTTTCTGTTGAAGACGGTGAAATATGCGTCCACCACAGCTTGCACAACGTCGTTCCCTGGATAGGAGAGCTTATTGTGTGTCTTTAACCATTGCGCGCCGAGCGCTGGAACACCTTTCACACCTTCTCCCCAAACAGGATATTTCTTCGTTTTCTTGAGCTTAATGACAGCCTTTAGCACAAGATCGACACTTTTCTCGTCGGCAAGCAAAGCGACTGCGGAGCTCCCGCTGCGATGCAATTCTCGGGTCCATGTATCTGGGAGCTCAGCAGCAGCTTCCTCCTTTTGGTGTTGTATCTCTTCATCTTCTCGTTTCCTCTTTTTGTGGTGCCTAGCTAGCCTCTCAGCCTGCGCCGGTTCATGTGAGATCTTCGCACTTTTTCTATCCTGTTCGAAGGCGATACTCTCGAATCGGCCGGCTCCCACTAGACTAGAGAACAAGGCGCGGAAATGTGCTTCGGTGCTATCGACGGGGACATTGGCCAAGTATAAGCTTCGCGAGTCATCTGGCGTCGCTATTTTGGGGGCATTTCGTCGCAAATATATGTAATGCGTCGCTTGGACAGGGTAAGATGGTAGCGGTGGTATCGAGACTGCTAAGGTAGAGAAGTCCTCGGAGGACGTCGAAGTCTCGGGCATCTTTGCCTGAGCTGCCTGAACGCGTAGAATCCAGATAGTCTAACTGAAGCAAGCCACGAAAAGGTTGTCAAAGCGTACAAGATATCGATTTGATAAAATTCCTACAAATCAAGCAGACAGCTGCAGGATAGGAAACCGAGTCTGACCAAGCTACCAAAATTTCAGTGGAGACGAGAGGTGGGGCCCGATGCCGATAACAAATACTGCGACAGATGAGCAGCTGTTAGGATCAATTCGGGCAGCTGCCAGGAGCTCGGCTCATCTGTGTCAAACACCAAGGAAAACGCTAAAAATGTAGCTTCTTTCAGCCCTTGTCAGAGATACAAAGCAGAATCCTTACATGATGAAATAGAGAACAACGTGACATAGCCTGATGGAACTTACTCCAACTCGTGGGCGAGGGCGAGCAAAACATGAGGGCATTGTAGACTTTCCGTTGCGGGTTAATCTACGTCCATGTACCTAGTCTAGCTGAGTTCTTATGACCATACTTATTTCCATGACCGTTTAACGGCATCTCGCCTAACCTGACTACCGAGCTCGGCGCCGCATCTAAAACACACTCAGATGTGGACTAGGCGGCTAAGAACTCTTGGCCGATGACAACAGCCGGTCACCGCGGGCATCCGAACCTTAGGTACCCAGTAAAAGACTACCAACTCAAATACTCACCTCCGGAGACCGAAGAACATGCAGATGTGTTGACCGGCGTGTATTACTTCCCTAGTGTCGGCAGCGGGGCCAGTTCTGACGAGATCAGATTTGACAAATTCCGATTCTCTCAGTCTTTGTCTCTCTCTTTCCAATGTTTCCCCCAGACCTTTTAACCTTCTTGAAACCCACAGTCAAGAGGATATCTCTTCGATTCCCGTATCCGCTGTGTTGATCTCAGGGATTTTTGAGCCATGGCGCCCTTCCAACATGTAAAGCAGCTTTTCTCCAGGACAAAGGCGGAGACGCCCGGCAAGCCTCCTCGTTTCCTCGCCTTCCGCTCTTCAACCTTCCTGATAGTGGCAACTGGTATGTTCGTCAGGCCGGCTACTCGGTGTACCCGGTGTACTGTGCTTCATGAAACTTGACAAATGCTCACACTCGTCTAGTGAACCTGGCTATCTTCACTGATATCTTCTTCTATGCGTTGATCGTGCCCGTGCTTCCTTTTGCCTTGTCAACCCAAGCTGGCGTTGCCGAGGACGATGTCCAAACCTGGGTTTCTATCCTCCTGGCAGCTTACAGCGCGGCTTTGTTCATTGGAAGCCCGGCTTCTGGCATTTATGCAGACCATACGTCTTCGAGGAGATGGCCGTTACTCCTAGGTCTGGCGGCTCTCGCGGGTGCGACCTTTTTGCTAGCTTTTGGAAACTCCGTCGGGCTCTTCATCGTAGGTAGATTGCTGCAAGGGCTGAGTGCTGCCGTCGTATGGAGTGTAGGCTGTGCACTACTCGTGGACACGGTGGGAAGCTCCGTTGGTGTGGCGATGGGATATGTTAGCACCTCAATGAGCGTTGCCCTCCTCCTTGCTCCCATAATTGGCGGCGTGCTCTACAATAATGTCGGATATGTAGCCGTCTACTATGTTGCTTTTGGCGTTGTGGGGTTGGACATTGTGCTGCGTCTTGTCATGATTGAGAAGAAGATTGCGCGGCAGTGGATCAAGGATCCCGAAGCCGAAACTACTTCCCAGAGCGACGTGGAAAAGAACACCCAAGGGGATAGCTCGGCTGAGGAGCCTCCCAAAAGCTCTACAATCCCAACCGAGACAGAAACAGGGATAACAACTGCAGAGCCGCGAGCCAGCCAGTCCGATGATCAGAGCAGTGATGAAAAGGGGGATAAGAAAAAGAACAGACTTCGTCCACTGATTGAACTCCTAAAATCGCCAAGACTCCTGGTAGCTCTGTACGGTATCCTGGTCGAGTCAGGCATTCTGTAAGTTATCGGCGTCTCTCAACTATTAAGATGTCTCGCTCACATTTTCCTCAGACTAGGCTTTGATGCTGTCTTGGCCCTTTTCGTCCGAGGATTGTTTGAATGGAACGCAACGGCTGTTGCGGTCCTCTTCCTTGCTCTTTTCATCCCAGGATTCATTGCACCCTTAGCAGGCTGGCTATCCGATAGGTATGGCGCCAAATGGCCATCATTCGCAGGTTTTGTCGCAACTATCCCTGTGTTGATCTCTCTTCGGTTTGTCACGGAGAACAACATCGGACACAAAGTGCTCCTAGCAGTTCTGCTTGCTCTTGCTGGAGCTACGCTTCCGTTCTCTATGACCCCTCTGATGGCGGAAATCAGCTATGTTATAGAGGCTAAAGAGGCTGAGAACCCTGGAATCTTTGGGGAGAAGGGTGTCTACGGCCTTGCCTACGGGCTGTTCAACATGGCGTTTGCATTGGGTGGCATAATTGGTCCTATCTGGGCTGGCTATGTCGTTGACTCTGCTGGTTGGGGCACACTTACGTGGAACTTCGGTTTAGTGAGTAATTTTCAATCTGTCACTTTTTCCCCGTCTACGTGGAGAGGCGCCAATGCTCTTCGTTTACTTCCTTCGGCGATACCTGTCGAAATATTGATACAACTTACCACACTCAGAACTTTACTTGTTATTGCGACTAACCTTGAATGCTGTAGTGGGCTGCCTCTGCTGCACTGGCTGTTTTCATCTTTGGAGCCAACAAACCAAAAACTCCTACCACAGAAGACACACCAACCGAAAGTGCATGAACGCCTCTCTTATATCAACTCTCACGAAGTTATGACCTTGGTATGTGCATCTTACGTCGATAGAGACAGTGCTCTCTCCTTATGATGACGGTATGGAATGGAATGGCATTGGTATAGACTACCGTAACCCAACTTTGTTACAGCAACCTGATAGATACTTAGACAAGTTATGAGACTCCCATCTCACGAACTTGTTCTACCTTTTATAGATGATATCACCTGCACTGATATATAAAGCATACCTGTATATAGTAGTATATAGTAGTATATGGAGTGCCATCCTGCTGGTAGGGGTTTAAAATAGACTGATGTATTACACACAGTACATCAGCTTCAGTTACTATCTCTGACTGTCAATAATAATTGAATGCATATGACATTTTGAGGCATTTTGCGTGAGATTTCAATTCAAATTGTGTGCATTGCCTCCTAGCCGTTGGGACGATGCGACGCACTTGATTTCATTGACCAACAGCATATACCCATCCAACCCCATCATCGCAGCGCACACCGCTGCCACACCTCTTACTTGACAGTCTCACTCATAATATTCTACGTTATAGTCTTGAAAACCCCTCAGGTACGAGCAATTGTACACCACTATGCCCAGAATACTTCCTGGGACTACTATGTATGCTCACCATATCTGAGGATTCTAAGCTGTAGGACCACCTCATCACTATACATATTATGCTATTGGTAGTATATGCCTATACGAAGTACGGATATACTGGGTGTATAAGTGCTGTCGACAAGCAGCTGAATATAGTTAGACCCGAGTGATTTTGGCATTGCTTTTTTAGGCGGTCAAGATCCTCATCACTGATTGCTTATTGGCCTTCTCGCCTCCCTTGCTTTTTGCGTTTCACCTCTTATAACGAGCTGTGGTAATACAATCACTTTTCTCGCTTCACAATACCTATTGAGGTCCCGTGGTGTACCGAGGGGAAGGGTGGGAACTCGTAGGCTGACCCTCCATTCTTACTCACCCTTGTCTTACAAGAATATAGATGACTGTTCTGGTACTCTACCACAGTAGATGCCAGGTAGACATCTCTCCTCTACCTAGCCTTGCGCACGATGATGATAGAAGTTGTCGTGAAGTTGGTGTGTTTGAATATTACTAATCCGCCGAAAACGAGAATTCGTAGACACGAAGTCGAATCAGTCCAGTACCTAGATCGGATCGGGCGGTCTGCGCAGCACTAACGCGGGGTGTTAGCGTGACGGCGCCTCGACGTGCCTACATACGGTGGCACGAACATCGAGAATGAACCACTACACAAAGAATTGGCAAATGAGGTGCGCCTGTTGACGCACGCACGTTACCATACATCATGTCGCACCTCTACAACATGGATGATACCATAGCATTGTCTTCGAATAATGCTTGGTATGATGGTGTCGGGGCCTGCCGCCAGATCCCTGCCAGCGTAGCAGAGAACCAGACAGATGTGCCTCTTCTCCACGTCTATTTGCCAACAGCCGAACATACAAATGTCCCGGCATCTTGGCATTGTCCTGTTGGCTGCAACCTCGCTCCCGTACCCTGGAACAGCATACGAAGTACGAGCGGCGCGCATCCAGGAATCAATCAACGCTGACTGGAAGGTCGTTCCGCGTCCTCTGCCGTTGAGAGGGTCTCCGAGCAAACCTTCTGATTCATTTTCTCACCGCACCTAGCATGCGCGCATAGTATGGCTCTCAAGCATGGTTGAGCTGACGGCAAGCGTAGCTACGTATACGTATCATCTATCTACGCTTATTACCCGATAGTGGTACCCTCGCTTGGGAACCCCAAGATATGTCTCAGCTGCCTGATGGCACGCTTGGAGATGCTGTCGGAGTATTGATCTTCACCTTTATTTGCTTGTTTACCAACATCCTCTTGTTATGGCTCTATTGGATAAGCCACGAGCGGTTAGGTTGTATGTTCTCTGTCTATTTCTTTAAACCCCGAACGGGAACAATACCGACTGACAGAATCCTCCTTTTCTGTAGATATAACACTAGTGGGGTACTTCGCCCTCTTGTGCACAATCAGTAGCATCATTCAGCAGATATACAATTATACGTACGTGTTAGAGATCGTGATATAAGCCCCTAAGCTGCTGACCCATGCCTCCTAGTTTATGGAATGATCTCCTTTGGGCGCAATTGTACTATATAAAGGCGAACTACAAGAATGCCGACGTCATCTTCAACAATGGCAACTTTGGCTTCCAGCGGGTTCTGGCGATTATACGTAGGTCAAAACTGCTTATGGCTATCGGTAGACTGTGTCTCCGGTCTGTCTACTTGGCTAATACGGACTGGCTCGATAGGCTTATTTTGCTATATCGTGGAATCAAGCTATCTTCTAGCCTAGTAAGTCTTGTGAGTCCTATCAAACGCCCCGGCTTTGCTAATGTAATTACTAGCTGCATCCAAGTAACAGCAAAGATGTTCGACTTTGGGACGAGGAGACGGAATAAACGGCGTTTTTACGCCGTGGTTGGTAGAGTCGCACCAGTTATTCTGGCTGCTATCGCTATCGGCTTGCTTCAAACTCCTGCCGTTCAAAGTAGTTTTGTTGTGTACATGGTTGTAGCAAACACACAATGTAAGCAAAGCTTGCTCCTTGATGCCGACTATTCCTTTGCACTACCTTGGACATACTCTAACCTTATACAGCTGTCTTGAGTAGTGCTATCAGCATCATATTACTTGCTCTCATCGTTCGTCAGTATATTCAGGCTAAACTTGCCTGGAAACGCGTCGAGGCAAACGATAGCTGTGGCATCTGGTCACGGCTCAGAAATAGCAACAGTAATACGAGTAATAGCAGTAACAACAGTTCTGGGTCCAAAGAACCTACTACAATTGCCCCAGTTTACTCATCACAGGGAACAATTTTCGATGACAACTGGGTGGTCGTCCGGTTGTCGATTGCAGTAGTTCTCATTTCGTAAGCTGCTCTCATAAATATACACAGCAGAGGTCCTTTGCACCAAATCACTAATGTTTGCATAGAGGCTTTATTCTAGCAAACGTTATCACACACTTACCCCAGGCTGATGACGTAGCACGAGATGCCAAAGCGAATGCGCCGGACTTAAGTGCTGAACGAGCCAGATCGAATATCATCGGTTACATATTCGGTGTAACGCCTGGTCTAGCAATATGGATCGTCTTCGGCCTCACTAGAGACTTTCGAAAAATTATGTACGATACCTTCGTACCGCGGAGGTGGCGCAAAAAAGGACCAATCATTGCGCCAGATGTGGGAGCTTCGTGGGAGTCTGCGCGTGGCAGGCGGCAGGCTGATCTGGCTGGGGTTGCTCTAGATGGTGGTCTTCAGTTGGATGACATGGGCGCTAACTCGAAGAGGCGCGCGGCGCCAGATGTGATGGTTGCACCGTTATTGACCTCGAAGTCAACCCCGAAGTTGACGCCGAGCGACAGATCGCTTTCCGGGGATGCACAGATATTGTCGATCGGATGACGGAATGGGATATGACGTTGATGAGAATTTGGTGTTCAAACTTCGGGATTTCGAATGACATGTAAACGGGTCTGGTTTTCATAGCGATTGAAATTACAGTGATTTCAGTAGTCGAAGGTTTTTTCGTCTCTGTGACGTTCCTCCTGGTTGGCGACTACTATCTGACAACATCCATCGCGCCCTGAAGTTAGAACGGCTCAGTTGTTTTGTGGCGGCAATAACTCGAAAATCATAAGAGCAGGTCATCACGATCGATACGTCCTTCTCTCATGTTGCTGTCGTGCGTGTGCGATTGGAGAGCAGACCAACCGCTTCGTTGACCGGACCCGGTAGAGTGGTTCAACAATTTTGACAAATTCTCAGCTCCACCAGAATCTATAATGCCATTCAATACCATAAATGTTCGATGTCTTGGGGTTTCGCTAGACCCCGCCTCTGCCTGGTACGTAACCTACTGGCTTTTGAAGAGAGTGCTACATTTCTCGGCTGTTCGGGACCTAACCCGTGTAAGACTTACAGGGGTTAGGCCAAGCATCAGCATCTTACTTATACTTGGGTGTACAACAATAACCTCATTATTACCAATAACATGTAGCTCCTCCATAGAGACAATGATTTAAAGCCTCAAGCATGCATGCGGCACAGTACTGAGGAGACCGGAACGACCTCTCGATCGCCAGATTGGCATATTTTGATCAGTTTATTAGCTCGCGGAACGTCGAAATGAAGACATGATTGTTTTGGCGAGCCCGGACACAATGCCATGAAGATGCAGAGAGTCCACAATCTCCCCATTCGCAGAGAGACCGCAGCAATAGAGCATGGCAGCCCTCGAACCAGCGCGAACAAGAGTCCTCACTAATCAGCTTGCAGTAAATAAAATGCTTGGGCAGCAATTAGGTTAGACATGCCTGACTAAAAGCGAGAATGTTTCTTCTCAGGCAGTTCGTCCAATGTAGTGCCGTCTCAATCAGCTGCCTAGTCTTCATCTGCTTTCGCCAATTAACGTCTCTAGATATTCTTTTGATCGTCAGTCGAACTAGCTAGTAACCACGTTGGCAGATGATTCGAATTTGCTGCCGCCTTCTGCTACTACCTCGAGCTTTCGACCAGCCTGGTCGACGATGCAGGCTGTCATTCAGACTTTGCTCGTGCATGCTAATCTATTGGATATAACACGCCTACTTGTCAACGAGATCGCAGGAGACATGAGAGAACTACTGACCGGGAGATAGATAGGCTTGCCGACTTGCATGATGGGGCGATACCCATGTTGGCCTCTTATGCCTAGAGCGATCACCCAGGGACTTCACGGAGCAGCCGAACTGGCGTAAAGGTCAAGGCATTTGGTAGCTAACTTGAGAGATTTACTCGATAGTGAGTAGGTAGATCACGAAAACTGGTAGGGTTGTTACACGATTTTAATAAGTCTGGCGACTGCTCAGTCGTTAATACGCATATATCCGCTCATCCAAACGGTAAATTGAGCCGCTCAAAGACACTCACTCCACAGAGTTGTCCCTCCAATAGAGCCAGGGTTTCTATGTGTATAGCAGTTAGCTATACGACTCATTAGGCCTGTATGGTTACAGGAAAGGATCCAATACGACTTTACCCTCAGCTTCGAAAACGGTAAGACGGATCAGGCGTTCCGGCTAAATTGAGTCCACATGCCTAAGCGGAACCCAACAAAGAACCACACCATTTCTTTAGGACAGAACATCCCATCTCTATTATCTGATTACCCGCCGAGAGCCTCCGAATTACAACCGGGGCCGGGGTAGAACGCGGGGCAGGTCAGTTCCTGCCAACGTGCGATGTAGGGGCATGTAGGTATATGAACGCGGAAAGCCCGTCCCTCTTGGCTTCTCGCCTCGAGCCTGCTTGCCGGGAGTCGTTATTTTCTACGCAGGAAGAAAATCCTGTTTCTAGAAGCTGAAACTCGGATCTGTCAACGGTGTGACTGGCTCTGACAAGATGGTGGGCGCCACCGTTCAAGCGGACAATCGCGTCCACCGCATGGCGGTGGAGGACCCGGTCCCCTGGTATCGCAAGCGAAATCTCCGCAATCTATACTTCCTGCTGTTTCCATGTCTCATGGGCATCGAGACGACCTCCGGTTTCGACTCGCAGATCATCAACGCCGTCCAGCTGGTGCCTGCCTGGTATGATTGTACGTCGCTCCCCTTACTCCATGCCGGCCATTTGAACAAGCAAGATACTAATTATCGGTGATAAAAGTCTTTGGACATCCAACAGGAGGTTATAAGGGAATTCTGGCGTCTGCGCTTCCACTGGGCGCAGTCATCGGATTGCCCTTTATTCCTCTTGTCAACGATACCTTTGGTCGAAGATGGTGCGTCATGACGGGGAGTATAATCATGATCATCGGGTCTCTCATTCAAGGCTTTGCGCAGAATGGTGAGTTGGTGTTGATAGATGGCAGACACATAGACTTATTATTGCTCTGCTAACCCTCTTATAGCACCCATGTACATCATCGCTCGGCTAATCATTGGATTCGGACTTCCTTATGCCATCGTTGCCGGCTCAAGTCTTATTGGAGAACTTGCGTACCCGAAGGAACGTGCCGTCTTGACATCGCTATTCAATGCTGCTTACTTTATCGGTGCTATCATTGCTTCTGGTGTAACGTATGGAACACAATTGATCCCATCAGATTGGTATGTTGAGTTAAACTAGCTTAAGTTGGTGCCATCCGTTAACATGCTCTAAACATAGGTCTTGGAGGTAAAGCGCCTCCCTGTTCGCTTCCTTGATCTGTACTCACAATAGACAGGCTTCCTTCAATCCTACAACTAACTCCATCATTGTTACAAGTCATTTTTATCTTGTAAGTGCCTAAATTTGGTCAAACCCCAATTGTAACCGCTAATTGCCGCCTATAGCCTCATCCCAGAGAGTCCCAGATATCTCATCAGCAAGGACAGGCATGAAGAAGCCTTCAAGATACTCGTCAAGTATCATGCTGAAGGAGACGAGAATTCCGAATTCGCTAAGGCCGAAATGGCAGAGATCAAAACAACGATAGCCATCGAGCTGGAGCACTCGAAGCGATCCTGGTATGACATGGTCAGCACCGCGGGAAACCGACGTCGCCTCCTGATCGGATCACTGGTGGGTATCATGACCCAGTTATCAGGGAACGTCGTGATATCATATTACCTCGGAGATATTCTTGCTCTCGTGGGCTTCACGGACCCTCAGTTCGCCGCGAAATACAATATCGGTAACCAGGTCTGGGGTCTCGTGTGCGCTGTCGTAACGGCACTGATCATTATGCGGTTCAAACGGCGCACGATGTATCTTTTTGCTATCTCCTGGTGCCTAGTGGCCTATGTTGGTTGGACCGCCTCGGCAGCCGTAGCGGTGGAGAGGCACAACGATGCCGCTGCAAAACTAACATTATTCTGGATATATTTCTACCAACCCGGTTATAACATCGGCTTCAATGCCCTAACATATAGTGAGCGATCTAATTCGATATATGTTTGTGGCAGCGCTGACTTTCACTCATAGCTTACTTGGTTGAGGTATTCCCTTACGCCATGAGAGCACGCGGTATCACGGTCTTCCAATTCTTCGGGAAAGCGGCACAGGTAAGTCTAGGATTACCCCTACGACAAATGTGAGATATAATCGCTGACGATAAACTAGTTCTTCGGCACAAACGTCAATCCTGTCGGCCTTGACCCCGTAAACGGCATCGGCTGGAAGTTCTTAATCGTATACTCAGTCTGGATTCTCATCGAGGGTATACTTATATACTTCCTCTGGCCTGAGACATCGGGCCGTACTCTAGAGGAACTCGCATTCCGTAAGTCCTTGGCTCGGCATTTTGTTGTTAGTAGTTACTGATTTGTCACCTGCAGTGTTCGAAGACGACCAGCGCGCAATCAAGACGGCTGAGGCTGTTGAGAACGAGATCGGTCAAGACAGTCCCGTCTCTGAGGAGAAGGCAGCTGAGAAACTACCTTAAAATCTTTTATGCGTGTTTCACGGGAGCTCTTGACGGTTGGCCTTAGAAGGTGGGGGACTGCGGCGTTTAATGAATACGATCACATCATGGGCGGGAATTTTGGCAATGAGTTATGCTTAAACAAGAATGTCACACCCAAACCCCTATCCTTTGTGATGAGCTCGACACCTTTTCATCTGTGATCTCAAGCGCAACCGTATAAATTCGCCGTTAATTATGGTTACCACTTATTGCTGTAGTGATTACTCCTCTGGTAGAGGATAGAAAGTAGTACCGAGGATCTTGCACTGTTACCTACGATCTAACGTCGTCGCCGAAGACCATCCATTGCTGCAATGCTCCTCTAGCAGAGGCTAAGAAAGCAGTGCAAAAGATTTGGAATCAATAGGCACATATGATCTTGGCATGGCTCCTTTGCGGGGACTAAGAGGCGGTGCAAAAGCCCCTGAATGGCGTGCGTGCTTACAACCGATCGAAGTCGCCGCTGCAACGTGCTATCAGAAAGCCTGTAGCTAAGCAGACAGTAAACAGATGTCGTAGTATGAAGCTTATATGAATGTTACATGAGTCGATTATTTTCGAAATTTGTGTAGAGGAAGCTTGATCGCTATGTAGTGTGCTTTGCGATAATGAGACTCAATAGCTAGGTTGGCGAGTAGGTTCTGACCGGCCACATTCGTGCCAGTCGGGATCTCATTACCACCTACGAAGCCTTGAGCTTCCTTAGGAAAGATGTCCACATCGATATCCGGGAGCGCGCCATTGATTAGGGAAGCTTGAATGCATCTTACAACGTAACTATATAGAATAGATGTATGGCGCCACTGCAAGGTCTCTGTAGACCGCGAACGGTGCAATCTAGAGGCCTAGGAAAATGTTGAAAATGATGACCACAATAGATACGTTTTCGAGCTGCGTTGCTGCTTGATCCGACTAGTATGTGAGCCGTTGTAGAATGCCACTTTACCTGTGTACGGTCTCCTGGACGACACCATGATTCACGCCGCCGTCTAGTCTCAACGTGTAGCCCGTGAACTTGTTCACCGTCTCAACTTCGTACACGCTAGACGTCCCGTCAATAGTGATATTTACCTTCTGACTATCACTTATTCGTGGTAGCAAAACTACCCCTTTAGTCCCTTCTGGCGTGCTGATATTAAAGCTATAGGACTTACTGACGTCCGCGATCGCCCAGCTTGCACGAAACTTTCCAAGCGCAGTGCTAAACCCGCCTTCTGCGAACGCCAAGTCACCGAACTGTGGCGCAAATGACCATTCCTGCCCAGCCGGACCCGTCACCTCCAAGCCCACGACATAGTTCGTGAGAGCACTAGTCGGCCCGGAACTCCAGCCGTGGGCGTGGCTGGTATAGCTTGGATCGCTATAGCCACGGTTGAAACGATATGCGAACGAGCCGTCCGCTAGATAGCCTTCGATCATAGTAGATGAGGTCCCATTGGGATGGTCGAGATACCACCCCCACGAACGGCGGATAAGATCGAGCGCGCGCGTGGCGTTGCCAGCAAGGAAGCGGGACTGTATCTCGAAGGATGATATAAAGGGCGAGATTTGCCCTGGCAGTTTGGGTGACACCGCGCCTATGGCGTTCCAGTTCTCAACTAGTCGGGAGGAGATGCTTTGGTCTTGCTTTCTGGTTGTGACATTGAAGAGGACAGCAAGAGAGTTTGCATCCTGTGGGTAGAGGGTCGTGTCAGTCGCATTGTCCCGAAACGCGCCGTATGATGGATCCCACAAGTGGGTGTTGATCGCGGTCGAGAGAGCGGCCGCACGGTCCTTATATATCACACTGAGGTCGTTGTCTCCAATAAGAGTCGCAAGATAGAAACCCGTTGTCAGAGTGCGATAAAGACTTATGGTGAGTTAGTACGCCTGGTCTGGACCGAGTAGTGAGAATATCACTCACATGATGTTCGCCTCGCTGTTGTTGAAGCCCTGTACTAAACGCGCCCAGTCCCTTGTGCCGGTGACGTTGAGCAGACCAGAGACTTCATCAACTTTCCCATAGACATATTCCATTGCCTGCTGGTACCGATCCCAGTTGAGAGTGAGGAAATTAGTGTCATTCTCATAAAGAACGTAGTTGTACGTTCCAATCATTGTCCACATGTGGTACGCTGTGAGGTATTAGCTGGCGACAGTGTAGCCCCTATTCCTGATACTCACTGTCGCTCCCCTGCTGTAGTAGTGGTGGACCAGCCTCGGGCAGGGAGCCGTCCTTGTTCTAGAGACTACCAGTTAGCGACTTCACATTTCGAATACCGGTGGTGTCATACTTGATAGTCATACATAACCTGCAGCGCGTTCGCAACGCTATCAAGCCCGCCTACACTGTAAAAGGTGGAGGGCACAGCAACGCCCATGTCTCCAGGCCAGACAGCTCGATCGCGCTTCGCTCCATCGACGATGATTGTGCTCCCGTTACCGAGTGTCCCGTTATTCGCCCATGTGTTCTTGACCATCGGGATTGCCCTTCCTGTTTTTACGGGCACAGTGTTGGTCTGAAGAGTATAAGCCCCGGCGTACCGGATCTTGTTCAGCATCTCATCGCTGCTCCAGAAGTACCCCTGGTACGCCCGCAAGTTGGACCATGTCGGCTGAAAACTAATCTCAAGGAGAATGTCTGACACATTCACAGTGGTGCTCGTAGAGTTAGAATAGGAGAGAGTAAAGTATCGGAAGCCTCCGCGCAGCTTCTCGAGCGGGACTTCGTAGCTCCCCGATTCCGATCTTGATATGGTAACAGTGAGATGGCCATCAGGCGTAGACCCCCCATTAGAGTAATCTGAGTCGGAGTCGATCCAATCCTTGGCCTCTGTCCACGAGAGGCTGATTACTGCGGGACCATCACTCGTGTAGTTGAAAGATGTGATTCCACCAACTTCTAGTCCGAAGTCTAGGACCGCTTGTGCTGTATTTGAGGAGAGAACAACCGACCCAGCATAAGCGGTACATGATAAAGCATCACTCGAGAGAATCGCCTTCGGTTTCACCCTGCGGGTGTCTGGCGCGTAATTATATTCATCCCAATACCCTGGGAAGGCGGGCTCGAGAGGACCCGTGCAAACGGTGTCTCGCCAGCAGGACGCTGCCCGGCTTACACCAATAAGTGAGAATACGACGAGAAGCTCTATATTTCTCATAATGCTTTCGAAATTGGCGGATATACATAGAACGAGGAAAATTTCCAATGAAGCCCTATGAGCTCGCAGAGACCAACGATACTGCTAGTAGCAAATCATTCGATTTAATGAAGCCTGCTCTTGTAGCAATGAGTGCTTCTCTGTAGGTTGATGAGTATTGGCCGAAATTTCACTAAGGCCGTGCCCCTGTGGTCGATGGTAGACACAGTGAGCCGAGATCAACGCTTCAATGGCTCGGTACCCCACACAGAATGAATTCCAGCTGCGATCTGCGGAGTAGAGCATGGTCGTGTGGATGGATGAATCGAGGGGATATGCACCACATAGGCCCGAGAATGAGGGGATAGGGGTACCGCGTACAACTTATCCTGGGTCAAGTCAACACTTGGGTCTCATCGTCACCAAAGCCCCAAGCTGTATTTGATCATTCAGGACATGCTGAGAAATGACATAGTGTCAACCGTCATCCCAAGAATACCCAAACCAGGTCGCTGGCAGCCATCCCTATGCGTTTAGTACTACTCGGTCTAACACGGGCCGAGATAATCGGGTAGATGACGTTCGTCCATCTATGGACATTCATTCTTCGTGCTAAAGCTCGCTGACGAGGGTAGCAAAGGGAAAGAGCGGCGTGGAGCGAACAGGTGATCAATTGCCACAGCACGCTAACTTACTGTTAAACATGCTATCTTCCGGTCTCAGTCTCGTCGCATTCTTCATGGCCTTGTCAGGCCTGGTCTGGGCGGGCGGCGTATCGGTCCACTACGTCCATGACCATCCCCATTGTATCGTGACCAGCAACGGAAATAACACTAATGATGTTCCGATCCTAAAGGAGGCATTCCAACTGTGCGGAAAACACGGCAGTATGACGTTCCCGGAGGACCAGGACTTCTGGATTGCAGAGAAGTTCAATCCCGTCGTGGATGACGTCCAGATCCAGTGGTACGGGAAATGGACGGTGAGTCGCCGCTCTACTCCCTCGTAGGCTAGTGGCATCGGTGAACTTATGGTGCTTCGCAGTTTTCGGACAACATTACGTACTGGAGGAACAACTCATACCATATAGCATTTCAGAACCACTGGGCTGGCTTCGTGCTCACCGGACAAAATATTACCATCAACGGCGGGGGCACGGGCGGAGTACACGGTAATGGAGACCTCTGGTATACTGCAGAGGCTGGCAATACTCAAGCCGGGCGGCCTATGGTACGTTGCGACGCGCTCCATAGGGGTTTGTTTAATCGATTGGATGACTAAATTTCTGCTGAAAACAATAGCCTTTCGTGCTGTGGAACGTCTCTGATGTTGTAGTGAGGAACTTTTCGATCTGGCAACCCCAACTATGGGCATTCAACATCATAAACGGGTCAAATATCCTAGTTGAGAATCTCTATGTCAATGCCACGGCGACCGAGGCACCGAGCGGCTCCAACTGGGTCCAGAATACTGACGGCTTTGGTGAGCACGCCGCCACTTTCTCTATCCCCTATTGAGACTAACGTTCGGCCAGACACTATGGATGCCCGCAACGTGACGCTAAGGAATTTAGATTATACAGGCGGCGACGACTGCATCGCCATCAAGCCTCGCTCTTACGACATTCACGTTAGCAATATTACGTGCCATTCCGGAAATGGCCCCGCCATCGGGAGCCTAGGCCAGTATCTGGAGGACAGCAGCGTGGAGAACGTTACAGTGACAGACCTCAGGGTGAAAAATCGCTCGGGCTTCTACATCAAATGCTGGACCGGTGCTCTCGTCTACCAGAACTCTTACGAGAGCGAATATCAGCCCCGGGGTGGTGGCTGGGGCTTAGCGCGCAACATCACGATCGAAAACCTCGACGTCACTGGCGCTTCACAAGCTCTTTATATCACCCAGGAAAATGGCGATGATGGCAACCATGCGGGCAGCAGCAAAATGGCCATCTCGAATATCACAGTACGCAACGTTACGGGTACCTTGTCAGGAGAGAGCAACACGATACCCATATCGTGCAGTAATGTTTATCCCTGCGATGGGATTCTTCTCGAGGGTTTCGACCAGCTGGGCTTATCGGGCGATGCCACAACCCTCAGCTGCACGTACGTCGCTGATGGCGGGGTGACCGGGGTTGGTGGCTGTTGAACACGGTAACAATCACATGCGCTTGTCTTGTCTTCATCGAAAGTAGGCATCGAAATGCGCGTTGTTGGTTCGTTTACGAGAGGCAACCTGGATTGAGAACAGGCGTACGCAAATATGCATGACGGCAACTGTATGTTAATTGGATAGGATCATCAGGTACACGGACCACATAGCACAGGCAGGTAAGGTAGCATTCTTGCAACTATCTTTCTCTCCAATGCGCTTAAATTATACAATTTTAATACAATGACGTTATGGGCTTCGCCACTGTACTTCACTATCCTCATATTGAGTTCCCAGTTGTAATTAACTATAAACTGGCACATTGAATCGAACCGTGATCAGGTAAAAAGAGTATTCCTCGTGTACATCGTAGTCAGTACTATATCGCTGTGAAGCGTCGATGTTGAGGCTAGGTATGTTTAGTGAAGCGACTGTCTGGCTAGCAGACGGAACATTGAAAAATGTCGATAACCGGCGGAGACTTGGTGATGCGTTAGTCGACTCCTACGGAGCCTTGTCGGAAGTCCGAATCCCACCACATGCATTTCCAAAGAAGAAACCATCAAGTCACGGCGGCTTGTTAAGCTGGCTTGCGTAGAACAGGCGGCCACAGCCTCAGAAACCAATTGCGCTGACCGGATAGACGTCGTGAACACGCCCGCCTTGCCTAACCGTTCGGCTTCTAATACCAGCCACCGAACACCAGCAACGCTCAAATCGAGCCCTGACGTTTACGTTTTGGAGGGCTCTAACAGCGATGTCGTTTGTATGGGTGATACTACGCTCGGTTTCCTGGGCTCAAGTGCGCCCGTAGTCATAGGCCTATCCAACATCCTGGTTCGGTAGTGCGCTGGCACCCACGATTCTGAGAACCATGACTCTGTTCCGGGCCGCCCAGACCCTGCAATTGTCCCAAGTTTTGAACACGAAGCCTTTCACACACCCTCAGTCACCTTTACGTTTTTTTGTGCCCTAAAACGCGAAAATAATAGAACGGTCGGGAGAGCATACGATGCAGTTATTCCTCATTCGAATGGGTTCCCATCCTTCTGGCCACCGGTTCGCTGACTGTCGCGGTCGTTGTGCCAAAGGCTTCGCTCCAAAAGATCCTCAAGACCAGAAAGATGAACACCCTGGAATGAACTCCACCCAGATGGCCTCGCTGACTGAATACCTAGAGCCGGTCGTGGCCCCATAGAGAAAGGACGCACCAGATCCATGCCCAACGTCACGCGATTAAAGTCGAACGGGTTTTCCACCTTAACACCTGATCCTGGCACTATGTCTACTTGCTTACCCTGAGGCATCCTACCTGGCCACCACCCATGAACTGTAAGCAAAGGACTGAATTCAATCACATATTGGTCACCCTGGACGCCCACGATTCGAGCAGGAAGGTAGAGCTGCGAGTGGTCGGTAACATGGTAATGGAATCGGAAATCCGGATACATGACGGGTGCCTCGACGGAGTCGCCGATATGGAAGCAACGATAAGGTCGAACGTTGTACTTCATGATGTTTCTCCGCCATGGTCGCCACAGCCGCCGCCTACCCTTTCCGAGTTGTGTCAGCTGCTCTTCGGGAAAGAAAAAGCTGCCGCTGTCACTCTCATCCTCTGTACTATCGTCTCGAGCTTCTGTAGTATCGGTCGGGACTGGGTCCCAATCGATATACTCTATCTCATCACCGTCCACTACTGTGACTCTAGAGTCGTACCAAAGTCCGTCGTACTCGATCTAGCCAATTCACAGAATGAGAATGCACTCAATAAAACGTACGGCACGAGGTTTTGGTAGAAATGGTACGTACTTGAACCTTTTCGCCAACTTTTGGTGGGTCAGCGAATACCTTCGACGGCCCCAAGAGCGTACAGTCAAACTCCGGCATAATAGAATTTGAGAAGCTGTCATCACCGCCTAACATATTATCGAAGGAATTTTTGAGCGGCCTCGTGGAAAACACAATAGCAGTCGGACCGACACCCACCGTAATGATATACTGCCCCCCGTAACATGCCTTGAACTCGGTTATGTGAAGGTCGCCGCTCCAGGCATGGCCACCCGATTCCAGAGGATACCGGATAGACAGTGGGGCGCCGATAGAAATGCCTCCGATCGGACGAACTTGCTTCGAGAGACTCTTACGCTCGATTTGACCTGTCTGAAGGTAGCGTACGTAAATATGAACGTCTGGAGTAGTATCATTCAATTGAGCGCAGAGGTCATCGCCGCTTGATTTCATAACCTCTCGTTCGGTAACGATTCCAAGTTCATCGTGCGTTGGAACGGCCACGATTTGAGCAGAGATCCAGCCGACGTGATCAGAAGGGGACTCGATTGTTGCCGGCAAGGCAAGATCCCCAGATGCCCTTTCGCATTCGACAAGTGTCCCGTAGCCTGTGGTTTCAAGGGCCAATCTTCTAAGCGTGTCGGACAATGAAGAGTCGCGAAGAAGAGTGAAATAGTCCCGAGGCTTGACGTAACCCTTGTGCAAGGGGTCGAGAGCAGACCGAAGAGACGGAAGCCAGAGAGGCCGGATAATGGACAGACGACGCGTGCCACTCTGATCGATGAGGTAGCGAGATCCTCGCTGGCGAGCGATGTCGACGTCTCCGGGGTAAAAGTTCCCAGTCGGTATCCTTTTGAGAACAAACGATGTTTCTACCTCATGTACGAAGCGTGCCCAAGAAACGTATAACATCTGTCAAGTAAGGGATATGTTAGTAGCATGCGGTAGATATTAAGAAGAACGAGATAGGGGGTGTCTGGGCTTGTGGTGGTGGGACCCTTTGAGTGACCTTGCCTCGTATCGAAGTGCGGAGGCGTTGAGTGCTTCGTTTTGGAATCGATCCTTCCAAAACGACGCTGCTTCCGGGTTTTGTGATTGATAATATTGAATAGCCGACGTGTCGGGAAATAGAGTAGCCTCTTGGAGTCGTTGCCGAAGGTGTCTGCATTCTTTCATCAGGTTTCCCACCATCTGGTCGATGCTAGCAAAATCCACGCTGATGTTCATGTTTTCGTGTAGAGGTGGATTTTTTACGACAGAGGTGGATTCAACAGTTTCCTTCCCACTCGTCCGTCCCTGTTGCGTTCTGATGTCGCTGACAATCACAGTAGATACTGCGTTGCATACCTGCTGAAGTTGTGCAGCCTTGCGCTGAATTTCAACAAGAATGTCAGGAATCCTGTTCAGAGCCCATATTCGCTTGATAAATCTCCTGGCATGAGTCTCCGCCCTCTTAGTCGCAGCCGCTCCAGCAAGGTCGATATCCAGGGCCTTGGCGCATTTTGCGCACGAAACGGCGATGCTTTGCAGGATATCCAAGATATGAATGAAATCGGAAACCTGGGTCTTAATGATGTCCTCGTTCACGGGATTCTCAAATACCTTCAACAACAGCGTAAGGCTGGTATTTAGTAGTCGAAGGTCCTCAGCAGCTTGGTTGAGCGAGCCGAGTCGGGTCTGAATTTCATATCCCAACTTTATGAGGAAGTTCAGTGCGGAAACGAGATCCGAAGCCGACATGGTTATGGTGTCCCGAAGCTGTTGGGTGAGCTAGTGAATGGTACCGTGGTTTCGGTTGGCGTATCTCAACCCTCTGTATCTCTGCCTCACTATGGAGCATTTAACCCCGTCAGCTTGTGTTCCTATTGCCTGCCGTGGTCTTTCGGCCCGACAAGTTATCCCGGGTATGAGGGGGTGGCGCCTTTCTCGGAAAACTCCGTTAACAGGGGGTTGTTATTGGTACCTACTTTACGATAGAAACATTTATTTATCATAGCCTAAGGCTTTTGACGAACGCGGCGTACCTAGAATTGTAGTTCGAGCGCTCCGACAAAAATATACTTACCGTTCCGCGTTTCGTACGTCGCGTTTGCGTTTCGTACATATCGTCATACCGATTACCGCTTTTTAATAGATTCTTGCTACGCGTTTTATGCTTACAATAGGTGGAGGTGGCGAGGTAGTTGGCGCTGGTACGCAATTAAGAGCTTTGTTATTATGATCACCTCCTTTGCCTCCCTTTAGAAGGATATTTCTGTAGTGCAAAGTACCAAAAACAAAAATTTACCTGCAAAAGCTTGGGGCACTATCAGGTTAACAGGGGGGGTTAATATCAGCTTGTCTGATCACTCCGACAAGCCTCACCCTCCACCCACGAAAAGCCCCACCTCTACGAGCGAAAAGTTGGGAGACAACGCAAAGCCCAGCCTGCGCAAGCGAAAATCCAAAGATTAGAAGCTAGAAACTTCAGTCCCTCCCTCTGATCCGATGCCATGGAAAGCTGGCTGAAAGCAACTGGGGCGGTAGGCTTGGACGACCTGGAGCTTGCCGATTTTCCAATTACCGGGCGCGGTGTTAGAACACTGAAGCGTTTCAAGCAAGGAGAAAGGATTCTAACCATTCCATGTGGCAGTCTCTGGACAGTCGAACGTGCCTATGCCGACTCTCTTCTAGGGCCAGTCCTTCGCTCTGCGCAACCGCCCTTGTCTGTCGAAGATACCTTGGCTACATATATCCTCTTCGTCCGGTCGCGTGAGTCGGGATACGATGGCCTGCGAAGCCATGTGGCAGCGTTACCTGAGAGCTACTCCTCAAGCATCTTTTTTGCGGAGGATGATTTGGAGGTTTGCGCTGGCACTTCACTGTACAACATCACAAAGCAGCTGGAGCAACAGATCGAGGATGATTATAAAGAATTGTACGTGCGAGTGTTTGGACAGCATCGAGATCTTTTTCCACTCGAAAAGTTCACCATCAAAGATGTAGGTGTTGTACGCGCGTGATAGATGTTGGGAATTAACCGCTAACGCCTCTTGTCCCTTCTTGCTAGTATAAGTGGGCTCTCTGCACCGTCTGGAGTCGTGCGATGGACTTCAAACTTCCTGATGGAAATTCGTTTCGACTTTTGGCACCCTTCGCGGATATGTTGAACCACTCGTTCGAGGTTCAGCAGTGTCACGTCCGCGATGCCTCGTCAAAAAACCTCTCTGTCCTTGCTGGGAAGGACTACGAAGTCGGCGATCAAGTATGTTCGTCCCGTTCTCTGCTGGTACCAATTTGAGCGCTTACATGGGGAATATTCCTTCAGATTTTTATTAACTATGGACCGATTCCTAATAACCGCCTCTTACGTCTCTATGGCTTTGTTCTACCCAGTAATCCTAATGAGAGCTATGATCTCGTTCTTGCAACGCATCCTGAAGCGCCATTCTTTAAACAAAAGCATAAGCTCTGGGTATCGGCTGGACTCGACTCAATCTCTACCATATCCCTCACTTTCACCGATCCGCTACCAAGAAATGTCCTTCGATACCTCCGTATTCAGCGAGCAGATGAATCGGAGCTCGCTGCTATAGCACTTCACCAAGTCGATGCTACGGAGAAAGTCAGCGGTTCGAACGAAATGGAAGTCCTACGGTTTTTGGTGGAATCGTTCTGTGGTGTTCTAGATAGTTACGGAACACAAGTAGAAAAGCTAGAAGAACAACTCGCGGAGGGCGTCTATCCTTCTGGGGGAAATGCATGGGCTGCGGCGCACGTTAGTTTAGGCGAACAACGGGTGTTAAGATTAGCGAGAAAGAAAGCGCAGGATTTGCTAGCGGCGGCGGCGGAGAGCGGAAGTGAGAATGGCAGGGGTTCGTTGTCGGTACCGGCGCGATGTGCGAATTGCGGAAAGGATTCCGTGAAGTTGATGTTGTGTGCGAGGTGCAAGGGGGTCATGTATTGCGGGCGGACGTGTCAAGTCGCTCATTTCGGTAAGCACAAGGCAATATGTCGAACTACAGCTTCTGGGAATATCTGAAATGAGATATAGTAGAAATCGAAAGAGAAAGCTGAGCGCAACTTTTTCACAAATAGGGTGAAACTGTGGAGAGGCATGGTCCTCGAGCTTCTCGCAGTAGGGTCCCGGCAGCCCACCCGGGAAACAGGTTGAGCCTTCGAAGCAGATTGAAAGCCGGCATGGTCACAGAGCCTGAGTTGAGTGTGGGAGGAGTCTGATCTACCATTCCCACATCAGAATAGTATGAACATCTCTGGGCCATCCTGCATTTGAACGCCTTGTGGTTAACCTCAACTCCTCCATATGCCGGCAACTTGATGCCACTTACAGCTAAGATTAACCATCTCGCTACCGGAAATGTAACACGCATCGAAAGAAAGTTCCGGATTTATCAGTATATTTATCATTGTATTCGTCGTTAGGTTTATCATTAGATTCGTAACTATTGAAGGTCGACACGGATATTCTACAAACACTAGTTAAGCTTGCGCCGGTAAACTGCGAGGCTCAATAACGCTGGGCTTTTTAAAGCAGGATCAAGAGTGGCCCTTTGGATTAGGCTGTGTAATTAGTTATAGGGAGGTCATAACAAATACTTCATTACGCGAGCTAGGGATTATGAGAAATTGGCTTCAGCCAGTTAGTCAATGCTACAACGCTTTATGTCTCTGACCTACTGCATCTTATTTCTCGCTACCAAGGAAAAAGTATGGGAAAGAACGTATTGCGGAAAATGATGGGTAGAGTGGAAGTGAAGGATTGTAGTCTACGAAAATTTTCTAATTGTTTTGTTTAAGCAGCCGCACAATTGCTTCGTGCCCGTTCTGGCTGGCCCATAATAGCGGTGTCCAACCGGCTTCGTCTTTTGATTTAGGATCAGCGCCTTCGTGAAGCAGTAGTTGTACAGCCGCCTCATACCCCTTTGCAGCAGCCCACGACAGGGGTGTCCAGCCGGCTTTATCTTTTGATTGAATATCAGCCCCTTTATCGAGCAGCAGCTGTATAACTACTTCGCGCCCTTTTGTAGCGGCCCACGATAATGGGGTTTGGCCGTCCCTGTCTTTCGATTCAATATTGGCACCCTCGTTGAGTAGCAGCCGTACAACTGCCTTATGCCCTTTTGTAGCAGCCCACGATAACGGTGTTTGGCCATCCATGTCTTTCGATTCAATATCGGCACCTTTATCTAAAAGCAGCTGTATAGTTGCCTCCTGTTTATTCTGAGCGGCCCATAATAACAATGTCAAGCCATTATGATCTCTCGACTCTATATTAGCGCCCCTGTCGAGTAACAGGCGTACAACTGCTTCGTGCCCTCCCTGGGCGGCCCACCACAAAGGCGTCCGGCCGTCCAAATCCTTCAATTCGAAGTTGGCGCCTTTATCGAGTAATAGCCGCACGACCGCCTCGTACCCTTTCACAGCGGCCCATGACAGCGGCGATTGATCAACGCTATCTTTCAACTTACTCTTATTGATCAATAACCGCATGACCGCCTCGTGCCCATTCTGAGCAGCCCACAACAGCGCTGTTAGGTTATTATAATCCTTCCACTCAATATTAGCGCCCTTATCAAGCAACAGCTGTACAACGGCTTTATACCCGTTAGCGGCAGCGTATATTAGCGGCGTACGGCCGTTATGATCCCTCAACTCGAAGTTAGCACCCTTGTCGAGTAGCAGCCGCACAACCACTTCGCACCCGTTAGCGGCGGCCCAGAATAGCGGCGTCCAGCTAGAATGACTGCTCAACGACTCAAGATCGGCCCCCTTATGAAACAGCAGTAGCACGATCGTCTCATACCCGTTAGCAGCGGCATATGATAGCGGCGTCCGGCCGTCGCAATCCCTGGACTCGAAGTCGGAGTCCTTGTCGAGCAGCAGCCGCACGACCGCCTCGTACCCGCTGGCGGCGGCCCACGATAGCGGCGTCTGGCCACTCTCATCTCGTGTATTCGTATCAATTATACTTCCTCTTAGTAATTTAAGCAGGAGTCCGTGAATCGCCTGCTCCTCTCGCAAGATACACTTAATGTGTTGAAACCAGTAAGACTTTGCATAAGGGAAGAAATTGAATTGATCCGTGGAATGCGCGTTGAAGAGCCTGCTCTCATCCGCAAGGACGCTGCCGATATTGTAGTCAGATTGCTTGCGCGACCTTAAAAGCCATAACGCAACCTTCTGAACATTGCTTGAATTATCTAAGGTTGAATGGACGATCTTCGACGGAGCTGTTCCGGCCATTACCCGTGGGACGACCCTTGTAGATAGTTGAGTGTCAAAGACACCGTAGTTGAGATAGGTGACAATGATGCCTCCCATCGTCCCCATTGCACTATCTAGACTAAATATCCCGCTAGGTCGGCCTCGGAGTCCACCAAGGAGGAATTGCTTAACGCTGTGGTGCACTAGTCGCACTGTCGAATCTTCTTCTTCAACAATGACAAGACTCCCACAACAAGCCAATGCTGAATATACATCATTAAGAATCTGAGCTGGCTTACAATCGGTATCTCCAGGTACAACGCTCAAGGCTTCCCGTAGTTCGTCGGTTGTTAGGGGGCGACGAGCCGCGACGATAAGTTTGAGTGTCTGTTCCTGGTAGGGCTTTCCGAGCGCCTCCGATTTCTGGAGAATGCGAGAAAAGGTATCCGGGAGATCCCTCGGGAGGTCGGCCAGTGCTTGTCGAATTGCCATATCCGTCTTCGCGGCACATAATGACTCGATTTGAAGAGTCACCCAGAGAAACATCCCTTGAGCGCCCCGTAACAAAACTTCCCGAACCTCTAGGATAAGGGTTGGCTCCCCTAGTTTCAACTTCCCAGACACTACGCGCCTCTCCAACTCTGCGGTGATATAATCTTCGATATCCGTATTATTGTCAGGAATTTGGAAGATGATAGGCCCCGCGAACTGCTTTAGGTATAATCTCAAGGTGTTGTCGGCCTCAGATCTGAATGAAAGACAGACTAGTAGGGAAGATCGGTCCTGAAGTCGCCGTAATTGACTAGCTAATATCTCTCGCTGCCGATTGTCGCATTCATCAAGCCCATCAATAATGAAGTAGGCTCTTGACTGAAGGACCTTGAGGAGCAGACCCACTACTCCGTCGATGTCCACGGCCGGAGAAGTGTTGTCGGCGAAGTCGTCAAGCCCGGAAGGAGGAGGAATTGTACATAGTAACTGCCGAGCCAGGCAGCCCATGATTGTACGTGCCTCTAGGCTCTCCGGATTATCGTGTTGGCAAAAAAAGTAAGCGACCGGAAACCCCTCATTTTGAACATGGAGATTTAGATCATCAACCATGTTGGCTAACAACACGGATTTACCCGATCCCAGCTTGCCTGAACAAACAAGTGTGCGAGCATCGGGTTGCACTTTCCAGTGCTGGTATTCCAGGGATTGGTTGAGCAGGGTGGCATATCCAATCTTTCGTGTCTCCTTCCATGCCTTCTCGTAATTAAATGTAGAGCAAGAGTTGAGGATTCGGAGAAACGCGTTGTGCTTCTTACGAAGAGACTCTGACTCTGAGGACTTGAGAAGAGCCTTGGTTCGGAAGCTCTGCTCTACGATGTCCGTCGCCATCAACTTGTCTATTTCTTCTTTAATCGAAGACGCCCATAATTCGCAATCCGACTGATACATCTTCAAGTCCGCCTCGCTTAGGAACGATATAGACATAAACTGTCCAAATGGTGACTTCTGTAGTAGCTTGAATTGAGAATGGAAAAGGCGGACAACCACTATAAAGTATTCACATAGATATGATCGCAGTTCCTTGGATCGGGGATAGAGTAATGCCATCGTTTGATAGCGGGGAGCTGATCGCCCTATGGCCATGAGCAGAGTTGACAGCTTATCAAAGTAGGCAGAGAAACTCGCCACTAACTACGGGCATGTGAGCCGAGATAACAAGTAGCGGGCTAGAATACTGACAAGTAGTGTTATCCGGACCAGCGACCAGACACTGCCAGCGATCAGATTCTGAGTACCACCTATCGCGACATCCCCGCAAGCGGCGAATTGTTGGACGGATTGCAGGATGTTGCTTAAGCGGGGACCGAAACATCGCCCGCCGCGCACCTTTCCGGCAGTGAGGCGGTCAATCTCAGCCGTCAGTCGCATAAAGTGACCAGCATCTAGAGGTGATGCTTGCAACTGGGATCTGTACGAACGGAAAATCGCCTTCTGTTCGTCGGAGAGTGCGGCCTCGAACTCCGAGGCTACTTGGGCCAGCCGAAGTTCAGGCTTCAGCCGTGAAACGCTTGTTAATATAGAAGACATAGCACTATTTTTGGGTCAAGGCCTTTGTCGCGATCCTGGTTTCAAGGCTGCTGTATTGCCGAAATACCTAATGCACTACGCCTAATATCCTGACTCGCTAGTTATAAATAAGTCTAGATTTCGCGGGATGAGGTTCATATGAACGGGCCACCTAGGGAGGCCGTAAATGCAGGCTGGGAAGGCCGTTAGGTGGCTTGCATGTGAAGGTCTCGGCCTTGCGGGGCAAACATGGTATAGAGGACTCTGATTTGGGATGCAAGAACATTCAGTCCTGGAGGCCTCCATACCAATACTTCAACATTTGTATGAAAAATTGGGAAGACTTCCAAGATCGATTTCAGTTTTGTACCTCTTGCAGCACGGGGTAGCAATTCCATTGGCGGCAGCATATTGCGCGGCTTTAACTGCTGATACAGAGCCTTTGTTACACAAGCTGAATATGCAGTTCGCCTTACATTTCGGCCGTACGAAAGGCCATTGCAGGCTGTTCATGATATTCAAAGATATGCAGGCAATATTGGGCAATATTGGAAAGTGAGGCTATACAAATTTCGCTTCTTGAAACAAACCCTTGAGACCTAGGCGGGCTGGGCTGGCAAACCGGGTATATATAGAGTTCAGTCAAGCCACTAAGGCCAAGATGGAATTTGTTGGTCGAGGACTCATGCGGCCCTAGTTGATCATTATGTTGTGAATAGTATCAAGTTCCAAGCCCGGTTATCTACCCTTGTTATAGCTCTTGTCGGTACAGAACTTAACGGCCACTTTGCCGTTGCATTGGGCAACGCCGGTGCGATAGAGTCAATAATCTGCGTCGAGTTCAAATTCGAAGAACAATACTCTAGGCCGCTATATTGAGTAGAAATTCTCTCATTATTCAGGAAGCATTAAAGTATTCATCGAAACGCTATTATTGCGCACATGTGTTTTGTGTCGCAATCTTCCAAACGGTTACTGGTGTCATTGATCCAGATACTGTCTCTCAAATTCTTGCATGGTGACATCCAAGTCCTATATTTCAGGAATCTTTTATTCTAGATATAACTGCTATCGGACTATCAGCTTATTACAAGAAGTTCACGATCTTAGAACTTTTTCTTGCCAATGTGCCATCTCTTGACCTTGCCTATATATACCGATATATAATAATCATAATTCTACGAATGTGAGGTATTTAAAGTTTCGAGGTATGAAAAAGGCCACAGAAGAAAAGCCTAGTAGGGGACTGAGGTTCTGAAATATGTACAGACAAAAGTATGTACGAGATCAATCGTTCGTGGATCATAATGAGGTTGGCCCTAACCTAGCTCTTCGATCCGCCATTGAGTCGAAAGATATCACTCGAATGAATGCCTTGTGCAACTATGTAGGCCCTCCGAATATGGAATAATAAGGCTAGGTTACCGTGATGAGCCCTTCTAAGTAGCAATCGAAATTAGAAACCTAGAAATGTTTGACGCACCAGCAGAAGCTAATAGGGGCATGACAGCGTTGCAAGCCGCTGCACTCGCTTGTAAGCTCATAGCTATTGTGCGATGAGAAGCGAGCCCTAACATCTAGTCTTTGTCCTGTCGATTCGAAGGTATAGCGCAATTGTTGAAGCCCCATGATATGTTCTGGATTTACGGTATTGAATTGGGGGCCACGATGAATTGAATAGACTTGTTTGTACTTATTCTCATTAGGACTTCTGCTGATCACCTCTTTGTCTCCACTTGAGCGCAAACTTGATTGTGATACTTTCCATCATCCCTACCATGGAGCCGTATTGCTCATCAGCTACAGTCAACCTTGTAGCATATCATTAGTATCGTCGTCGAGGGCCTGCCAGCTTGCCAGCTTCAAATAATTAAAAGCTATCGCTAAGTTATTTCTATGTTATAAAGTGGCTTTGGGGCTAGACTGTTGCTCGAGATGGTTCCTTAGGAACTTGACTTGTTGAGTCATGATGGTCCCAAAACTCTTCCCCGTGAAAATATCCATATGGCCCTTGTTAGGTACCAGTAGATGCTCTTTTGGCATACTTAGCTTTTCGAACAACGCCTTTTGCCTTGTCGGCAGCGACATTCTATCCTTCAGTGGCGTGACTATCATCACGGGCGTAGGAGCCACTTGCGGAATTAGGTCGTATGGTCGCCACGTCGATATACGATAGTGGCTCTGGACTGTCATTTCGTTCTTATACGTTGGGAAGAGCGACGCCGATTTCTCCGCAACTTGGTACTCGCTCACAGTGGTTCCTGGGCCCCAGCCATACGAACAATTGCCGTCTTTCTGGATAACTGGGACATACACGGGATCAGCCCCTGTTAATTGCGCCTCGCGATCTTCCATCGCATCACGAAGTAAGACGCGCAGATGTTCGGGAGGATATGAGAGATCTGTTAATGGCGATACCGCAATCACGCATTTTGCCCTCCGGTCCAGTGCTGCTGCATTCAGCGCCACGACACCGTTGAAAGAGAAGCCCCAGTATGCGATCTTATCAGGGTCTACCATTGGGTGCTTCTGCAAGAATGTCAAGGCGTCATGAAGATCTGATACATGCTTCGCGGGATCGATGTCACGCCGTGGGCTACCATCACTCTCCCCTAGAGTTCGCGGATCATATGTCAACACGGTGATGCCGGATCCCTGGAAACTCTCCGCAACCTTCGGCAGCATAATTTCTTTTACGAAGCTGAACTATGGCCATGTCAGTTGAGACGTGAGCACAAGTATATAGGTGAATGCTCACGCCAGGAAGCAGGATGATTCCTGGGCCCCGCTGACTCGCCGGGTAGAGGTTACCCCGTAGAGTCAGGCCATCGAGAGTAGGAAACGAGACCGCGTCGATTCTCGACATAACGACAGCAGGGATATCGGATTCGAGCGGTAATGCGAAGTCTGTGATCTGTAGATGAAAGACGGGCGTAGGCTCACAACTGGATTGCGGCTGACGTTTGCTGACCTACTAGGCCGCAACAAGACTGGGGCCACCATCGGCGATTGCCGTACTAGGTTTCCTAATTGAATTGATGCTGCATGGTGGGTGAGATTACAGCATGTAGCATGATATGTAAGGTTGCAGTATGCAACGTGATGCGTGAGATTGGGGTACGTAATGTGATATATACGATGTGTCGCCTATGCTACCCGAAGGAGCATCAATTATAATGAGCAAAATGTGAGACTCAAGAAAATCCACGATACTCACTAATTAGAATACTATCTGCCTAGAGATTAATAGTGTCACATGGTCTGGCTACTACAGATCATCTTGAATTTAATGCTAAGTGTCGTTGACATGTTAATTGTGATGATGTTGGGAGTGACTAGATTCTGCCATACACTGATCATAGACGCCAAGCCGAACTACTGTATCTTCATGAGGGGAGATAACCCAGGTGAATGTTGTGTACTGGATCATGAAGTATCAGTGTAAGATACGATAGTTGATTGATGATTCTCGTCTACTTATATGACGCAAAGCCAATTGACATGTAAAGAGGTCCTGAAATAATCTATACCCGTATCCAATGTTCTAACCAGGCTATGCGGGGTGGTATTCTATAGATGGCCTGATAAAGTAAGCTTAACCCGTATAATGAACCGCTACCAGTGATGTACCCTGCAAGTGAGATCTCGCATGAGCGTTTCTAGTACAGTTATAACATAGTATGTCCAACTCTCGAAAATGTACATAGAATGCATATCGGCCTCCTTTGAGCTACACCAAGCCCAACGGATACTTTATGAAGCTGACACGTCTAGGCGGAGGAACACCCCGGGCCATATAGATCCGTCCGGCTTTATAGCCTCGAAGTTGTCAACAACATGAAAGCCTTGTGTTTCGTAATATCTAAGTCAATTAGCAGACGAACTGAGAAACTTCCAAGCGTGTCTGTAACTCACTTGACGAGTCTCCGCTCGTTCCCAGCATATGCATCTGCGTATAAGATCTTCTGTCCCTTCTCCCGGCAGAACTGTCGAGCGTACTCTATCAATACAGCCCCGACCCCTTTGCGCCACGCGCCTGTTCGAAAGTCTGTGATGAGGCCCTCAAGGTATATGTAATCCCGAGTTCCGTCGAGTTCCTTCTTGATCGGGTCCTGGTTGAACAGAGTAGCCATGTAGTGCGGATATAGCCCCTGCGACAGCATCATAGTTCCAACAGACAGTAAGTTTTTCCCATCAGCGTCTTTCCGGAGCTTCAAGGAAGAGGGCAGCTCGTCGACGGCTGAGGAAGGGATCTCGGCTTCGACGATGAAAATCTGGACTGGAGGGCCTTCTCCTGTCAATTGGTAGTGTTCCGCTTGCCTAAAGACTTTGATCTTCTCTTCTTGGTCTGTTCGTCCTGCAAATGGCGTAGACCCCCATTGCTTTCCGCTCCCGATACTCGCTAAGTGAGGAAGTGAGGCATCGTAGGCGTCTATCACGAACTGGCCATCGCCGAGGCTCTCACTGAGACCCCTCACGTGAAAGGTTGGTGTGGTGGGCATTGGTGATTTAGTTCAACTAGCGCAGAATTCTGCCTTTGATCTCTGGAAACTGCTGGGAAAGTCACAGTCGTATGGTTAAATTGATGGCCACGGCTGATGAATCTCTTATACGTCTTCTTATCTTCCTGTGTAGTTCTTACAGTTTCGACATCATGCTATGCCACGCGTTCTGCGCAGGCAGCAACATCTTGACTCGTTAACTGCCCATCATCGTGGGGTTCGGATTATTACCTAATTCGGCTTACTGTGTAGACTCACACCACTACAAGGTATGGGCTAATAGCCTAGGTACGACTGACAGGGTAGTTGTCGGTTTCGTGAGATGATGGGATCGATTGCGCCTTGTTGCGTACACCGAAATCACCATGAAACAACTTCCAACTTCCAACTAGTCAACCGTAGTTCCCACATCAATTGACCAGGATGTCTCAATGTAGGACTTACAAGTATCTCGATCAGACGACAGTAAACAATAGTCGACATACTGATAATGTTGTCCTGTCACACTGAGGCGGAAACATACACGGTTATGATAGTCATTAGACTGCGCACAGTCTAACGGCGTCGTTTTGACAGAGTGCGACATGTTCTAGACACGTCACCGGACCTTTGGAATCATTGCGAATACAGCCCCTCGGTCATCAATTGAATTGGCCGAAGGGTGTCCAAGATTGTGGCATTGGTTATCCTGAGGCTCGTCGCGTGGAGTGGAAGTACCACGAACACATACAAAATGTAACACTGCCGCTTCGATTGCTGGGGTGGCATTGATCTCCTCGATACACCGCGGCGGCGGAACTTCGACGCAGAGACTGTGGCAGAAGGGGTTGACAGTGTCAGGTTTGCTCCGGGCGGCGGTCGAATGTAACGGTTCCCCGAAGAGCCAAGCGGCAATAGAGATGCATATATAAGACGCCTCCAAGGAAACGATTTGACATATTCGCAACGCATCGTTCTCGTCAAGTCGACAACTCCTTCCAAAACTCTCATTCGAAATTACTCAAGCTTAAGTTGATGAATTTGGCACCATCGCAATGGTCAAGGTTGCAGTAGCCGGTGGTTCTGGGCGTAAGTTCGGCTCTCATCAACTATCACGAGAACGCTATAGAAACTGAAAATTCTGCAGAGGTTGCTCGAGAAGTAGTCGATGCACTCGTGGCGACAGGAAAACACGAGATAACCATATTTAGCCGGGGTGTATGTGCAGCCAGAGTGGTCAGTCTCGGGAGAATCTGATGTTGACTGTGCAATTATAGCCAGCGCCAACTGCCGCCTCCGTAAGCGGAGTGCAATGGCAAGCCGTTGACTACAGCGACAAGGGGGCTTTGGTTGAGGCGCTCCGAGGAACACACACGGTCTTGTCGTTCATCCAACTGCTTTCCGATCCTAACCAGACTGCACAAAAGAACCTGATCGATGCCGCAATTAGTGCTGGTGTGAAACGCTTTGCACCTAGTGAGTATGGAAGGTACTGTCCCTGGCTTCTCTCTTGTTGGTATCTGAGGGCTTTCGCTGATCTTGTCTATAGCCGAGGCCTCGATAACATGGCTTGGTGGGAGGGAAAGCAAAAAGTTAGAGAATACCTAGAAGAAGTGAACCGGAATCAGACTGTAAGACCTCTTCTCAGACGCAACGCGTATGATTCATATGGCGACGGCTAAGCTCCTTTCCTGGGTCGACTAGGCTATTGAGTACACTCTGTTTCAACCTGGTCTTTTCCTGGATTACCTAGCATTTCCATATAAGACGGCGAAATACCTGGACCCACTGCAATGTGTTTTTGACTTCAAGAATAGGCGCGCGATCACCGTAGATGGACACGAGGACGCCATCATGACGCTGACGACAGCGGCTGATATGGCAGCTATTATCGCCAAGGCTGTCGGTTGCGACGGCAAATGGCCTACTAATGGGGGCATCTGTGGCAACAGAGTCTCAGTTGCGCAAATCTTGGAGATTGGACACAGAGTACGAGGTATGAACGGCTAGCTGCACACAACGTCATGGAGAAGAGTCTTTGGGCTAAGCAAATTACTTACCCGATCTGTAGGACGCCCTTTCGTTGTTGAAAAGGTGAAATCTGAGGACCTCGAAGTCGGAGAGCTGAAGACATCGTGGTGCCTAGAAGCGGTTCACCAAGCTGTGCCCGACGATCAAGCGCAAGCTCTTCTTAAGGCAGTATGCATTGGGACTCTCCTCAGCAGTTCCAAAGGGGCGTGGGAGTCATCGGATGAGATCAACAAGCTATGCCCCGAGTACGAGTTCACATCGGCTGAAAGCTTCCTCTCGAGAGTTTGGGATGATAAGCCATGAAAGCTTTGATTTTACCATCGATGCATGGTTACTCTCGTGTAATCGCGGTTATGCTATAGATTACATCATCTCTACCTACGTGACCCGCGTTACGCGCATTGACTTCTGCAGCCTTACGTGCATAAATTTGATGCAACGTCATCAATGCAGATTGAACGATTTGGCAGACTTGCCGGCTTCTTTCCATGTGTTTTCGTAGGTGGACATCCCGAGGGTACGGGCTTTTGACCCCGCGCGAACCGCTAGTTTCTACCAAAGACTGCGCATACATATTGGTCAAGTCGTGTGTTGAGTAATCCGTGCGGTCAATGCCGTGCCAATAGCCTACCAGGGCCGTTGAAGGTGCCCGATTTAGTGACTCCGCGATACTCCGCTTCGGATGAGCAGCCCAGTTTAGCCCTTGTCCCGCCCAGATAACTGAAAAGCGCAACGCAACCCGGTATTACCATGATTCATGGTGTGCGGGCTGGACAATAAGACCACTCATCAACTCAAAATCCACATTTTGCCGTCACCATCTTTTTGCATTCTTGAACTCCCAAGTCTAGTGAGAGTCTGAACTGAGCTCATCATTTGTACAATCGGCGACCAGCAGTACTGTCTCCACCACCAAGACTAATATGGCACCGCCTTTGGGTATCGCTCTAATAGGCGGAGGCATTTTTATGAATGAGCAGCATTTGGTGAGACTAATCCTGCCGCTTCCTGCCTTTCCAACCTCGAGTCGCGATGTCTCATATTTGGTCGTTGTTTTTGATACTTTCGAGTGCCTGTAAAGACTCAGGGCTGATTGGTGCCAATTTAGCCCGCCGCGCTTGCGTGTTCACTCATATCTGTGAAGGCTGTTTGGTCTCGTTCGTTGAAATCAGCTGAAGGAACCGCTAAGAGCCTCGCCGATGCTGGTGCCTCCGTCGAGGTCTATTCCTCCGAGTCTGGTTCGGGTAAATCGTACGATGACCTTTTAAAGCGCGAAGACATTGTCGGAGTAATTGTGGCGCTCCCCATCATGGACCAACCGAGTTTCATTGAGAAAGCCCTCGCTGCTGGTAAACATGTCTTGGCTGAAAAGCCTATTGCTAAGGATCTTGACACGGCTATTAAGCTCGTGGAGTACTATAAAAAGGTTTCGAAGGAGACTAAAGCTACCCTAGCTATTGCCGAGAACTTTCGCTTTATGAAGGGCTGGGCCTACGCCGCAGAAGAAATCAAGAAGCTAGGTCGTATGACGGGCTTTTTTGTCAGACTGAACATGATGATGCAGGCGGATAACAAATACTACAAGACTCCAGGTACGTATCAACTTTCCGTGCCAGTTCTGAGACCTGGACTTGGCAGAAAGAACTGTTGTTGTCTTCCAGAGCTAACTATTGCTACAGTATGTGAATTTCTGATCCACAAACATGACCACAGTTATCTGTGTAATTCTAGAAAGTATGTAATAAGGAATTAGACTAACATATTCTGATGTGACAGTGGCGCACCGTTCCCGAATACCAGGGTGGTTTCCTTCTTGATGGAGGCGTCCACTACACCGCTGGGCTCAGAAAACTGCTAGGCGAAGAAAACGCTGTAGCTAGCGTGATAGCACGTAAGTGACCCCGAATGTCCTTGGTTCGTTCCAATGATCGCCATTATCAGAGCATGAAGGCTCTACCCAAGGCACTATTGTGCCTTAGCAGCTGTTCACACTTCCAAAACTCATGAAACAAGCTTATAATGGCGATCAGCTGACGCATGATATTCTAGTGACATCGCTGATTTCAGAACACCTGCCGCCTAAGGACACCATCAACGCTATACTGCAAACCAAAACTGGAGTGTTGGGCTCGTTTATCCAAAGCGTAGGGACAACAATGCAAGCTAATGAGTTCCACATTGCTTGCGAGAATGGCTATGTTAAGGCTAGTCCTGACAAGGTTATCACGGTTCGCGGTCTTGGGACAGATGCTAAGGAGGAGGAGAAGACTTTTGAGAGGAGTTCTGGAGTCAAGGAAGAGGTCAATGCTTGGGCAGAGGCGCTTGTTTCTGGAGTGTCTAATCCAGAGCAGACGCCTGAGCTTGCCATTGGAGATCTGGAACTTGTGGAAAAGATGTTGACAAGCGGAGACCAAGACGGGGCAAGGCAAATGCTAGAGCACCAGTAGATAGACTAAGATGTCCCTCGAAGGAGCTAGCCACTCGGGAGCGGCAGCTACAATTTGCTCCGAGACTCAGCTACGAGTAGTTTCTTCAGACCGTTCCGAAGCTGGTCATTCATCCCATTGGCATTTGGGCGCTGAGTGGCACGGTCGACGAACACGTGAACAAATTCGCCCACAGCCTTGACTTGCTCCACATGCTTCTCGAACAGTGCCACTTCGTAGACGACACTAGATTTGCTAAGCTTGTTGACTCGTAAGCACAATTCAGCCACCCTGGGGTAGCTCATGGCGGAGAAGTAGTCGCAATGAGTGTGCGCCATGAGCGGGTGCTGGGCCGAGGTGGGTGGGTGCAGTCCACAATGATCCATCAGGTACGAGTTAATCACAGAGTCGAAGCTACACGACGGAGGAGCCATAGAGGGTCAGGAAAGCGTCTCGAGCGTCTCTGCCGGCGGCGATGAAGGCTTCTACTGACAGATAATTATAGACGCCGTTGTTCATGTGGTCATACATGTCATTATCGCTCCTATGAGCCGGTTAGTGAGCTAGCCTAGTCGCTGCAGTCTCATCAAGTCGGTCTCACATACCATCGCGTTCTGTATTCCAGCATAAAAGTGTAGTCTTGCCGCGTTCTATTTTTCAAATGCTTTGATGACGCCATGTTGGCATATGAGAGGAATATGCTTTGCTGATACTGGGTAAACCGGAGGAGAATCTACGTGTATGTATCACAATGAATGAGATTCGATAGCGGTAGGGGATGAAGCCAGCGATTTAGAAGACCTGTGCCGAGGCCCAGGCTGTTGATACGTGCCTTGACAGGTGGCTTGACAGGCCCCTAGTTAGGTACTTGGGTAGGGCCTGTAGGCATTGCCGGGGCTGCCCTGGGCAAGGGAGTGGTGCCGGGCCGGTCAGCGCTGGGCGGGGGGCTGGTCGGGGGTGCCAGGGGATGCCTGGAACTGTAAACAAGGGCTCAGATTTTGCCGCCTTCAGCCGCCAATTTTTCTATCGCCGGCCCCTCCAACTGCATGCGCGCATTCGTTCAATGCCGCATTATGCGACCATGTCGGCAACGGCAAATGCGCCATGAAGGATTGCTACATATTTTACTACACGTATACGACGCCTAGGCAATCCAAGCCTTGAGCGTTCGAATTGGACTTTCGCCTCGAGCGGGCCCATGCCCACGGTCCATCATGACTCACATAAACGTCGATTCGCCCTCGCTGCCATCGTCGCCGTCCGTGCAAACCCCGACGATGGCTGAGCAATCCGACAGCGAACGTCCGAAGTCGACAGAACAATCGCCGCCGCAACAGCCTGACCCGGCTTGGCCAGTGCCTTACTACCTCGAGAATGGCCTGCGCCGCGTTGCGCCCTACAACTATACCTACAATACCTGGTGTAAAGAGCGATGGAGGGGAAGGGAATTGCTGGATGTCTTCGAGAGCGAGTTCAGGGACCGTCCGCTCTCCTACTATAAGCACGCTATCGAGACAGGCCAGGTACGTGTGAATGGAAAGATCGTGCCTCCTACCCATGTTCTTAAAAATGGCGACATGGTGTCGCACACCATCCATCGCCATGAACCACCTATATCAGCGCAACCTATCGGTGTCCTTCACGAGGATGATGATATGATTGTGATCAACAAGCCGTCAGGCATACCCGTCCACCCTGCCGGTCGCTACAATTTCAACTCAATCATAGAGATCATGAAGGCTGAACGCGGCCCTGAGTGGATCGCCTATCCTTGTAACAGACTAGACAGGCTGACTAGTGGCATCATGTTCGTTGCCAAACACCCCAAGTCGGCAGAACGGCTTGGGGAGCAGATCAAGCAACGATCTGTGCGCAAGGAATACATCGCCAGAGTCATAGGCGACTTCCCTGACGGAGAAGTCGTCTGTAACCAACCTATTCTTTCCATTTCACCCAAACTTGGTCTGAACAGGATAAGAGCAGACGGAAAATCTGCTCGAACGGTTTTCAAGAAGTTGGCTTATTATCCGCCACGTGAACCGCGAGTGCGGCCGTTTCCCAATGACGAGTCTCATCCAACTCTAGAGTGTTCTGATGAGAAGTCAAGGCCATGGTTACGCAAGGAAGGATACTCCATTGTTCGTTGCCTCCCAGTAACGGGCAGGACTCATCAACTTCGAGTTCATTTGCAACATTTGGGTCATCCTATTCAGAATGATCCAATCTACGCGAATCAAAAAGTCTGGGGCGTCAACCTGGGATTTAATGACCCTGACGCAGTCGAAAATACCGATGAAGACATAGTATCTAGACTGAACAGGATGGGGAAAGATGACGTAGCTGATGCTGTGGCATATCACGATGAAATGGTAGATCAGTATTACAAGCAAAAGGCGGAGAAAATGTCTGGAAAGCTTTGCGAGATCTGTGATACTCCTCTATATACAGACCCCGGAGCACAAGAGCTATCTCTATGGTTGCATAGTTTGCGCTACGAGGATGCGGGAGGTAGCTGGAGTTACGTCAGCCCTCTTCCCGACTGGGCCCTACCCCCCTCTGGCTATGTTGGTCCGACCGAAGTTGGCAATTTAGACGAGCTAGTTGAAGCAGTGAAAGACGAGAATCCCGAGCTCGCCACGTCGTAACTAGTCGCCGCCCAAAATTTAAATAATATCCAAATTGGTGGCCTCATCTGCTTCGTCTCTTGATTGGTCGAGCCCTTGAATTGACTTAAACCCAAATGATTGGATTCAGTTAAGGTTATTTCCAAGTTGCAGCCTCGTCTCATGGACCAAATTGCCCGGTTCCCGGAGACTGCAGCGGCTCTAGCCACAACAATAAGTGCGATTTACCCAATCAACTACCAGTTCAGTAATTCCGAAACTCCGAAGGCTTCTTTTTTCTTCTAGCCCTAAAAGCTTTGACCAGACATAATAGAGTTCATTGGCCGAAGCACTAAGTTTTGGAGAACACGTCGTTACGAATTTGACCCCCTATGCGAATATCGAGGTAGCACACACAGTTATTCTAGAAGGTTGCCAGTGGCAATGGTAACCTTGCATATAGCATGCTAGGGAGGCTCAAACTCTACTGCCGAGGCACAGCGCGGAAGCTGCGTCATATAGCTGGTGAGTGTGCTCCGTGATGGGCAGATTATCTCAATGTAAGTCAAAATCCAGCAGTCAACCGTTCATTCGCTGACTGCTCTATCGGCTCGTCAACAATGCTCAATAAATCAAGAAGCCTTATCATCATGATTCCTCGTTCATGGCTATTTTGAAATTTCTTATTTGCCTCCATTGCAAAATCGCCTCCCAATGTGCCAATGTGGTGTCTTCATCGTATTTCCACAGTGCAGGGCAACAATAGTATCTGATGTATGGGGGACTACCCACCAACTAAGAACAAAATCTGCTATGAAAATAAGTACCTAGCAGTGGCTTTCGGAAGATGCCTTGATCCACGCCAAATACCCGTTTCAGCAGCTTGGTAGTTCGCACTTGTTGTACCCATTATTAGAGTCTTGGCTGAAGACCTAGATCTCGGATTGGATACTCTAAACACAAGCCTCCCGTAACAGCTCGCTCAGGGCAATTAGTCCCACAAAGCAAGAAACTCAACTATAAACATGTGCGTCTGGTGGCTTGGTGTATGGCCTACAACTTAAACCTTGTCACACACATGTTGCACGCGTCTTACACGCACTATACACAACATACTGTATGAGTGACGTTTGTTGACGTTGAAAAGCCGATTCATTACAGGCTCACGCGCCACCCAAGACTAGAATTTTGGCGGACGGGCGGATTTGTGGGTTGTCCTAGACAGGTACCTGGTGCCTCTCTCTCTGGTGTATGGTGGTGTTCTCATTATACTGTATGTACTTCGACTTACAGTCCTTACATTACGTACTCTGCCTCCGCTCATGCGCATTCGTAGCGTAAAGTCTATTTACAATCACCATCCTTGCCATCCCACCATCCATTACCTCGACCGCAAGATGAGGGAGGAGGGAATTACCCATAGTTGTCAAGATGTCTTGCAGATGTCTTGCAGGGAGGGGCCTGTTCTTGAGGCACCGGACGAGCCGCTTTTCTCAGAGGTCCTTGCTGGATACCTCACTTGGACAAAGCATTGCCACGTTCAGCTATGGCTGAAGTGACATCGATCGATTACGGGTCGGTAAGTAAGCTGAGAGGGTATGAGTTCAAGCTGGTCCGTTCACCACACCTCCCCGTGGCCAAACGACGTAGGAGGGTGTACGGTGGTGTAGCGCACGAGGTGCCCAGGGAGGGTCTAGACTAAGAAATCAAAACACCAGGCCAGCAGGGGTCGGTTTGATTCCGATTCTTCCTCATCGTCGATACTAATCGACAGGGGGCTCGTTAGCTTGATGCTCTACAGCAGTAGTGTACATGTAGAGCTGTAACTGCCAGAGGGTCGTGTCGTTGGTGGGTCACTCCGCTGCCCTTTGCCCCATCAAGCCCTCATCCTTATATATCTCCCATGACGCCAATGGGACCCTGGCAATTCTTGGGCCTCCATTATTGATCGACTTGAACCTGTACTCGAACCTCTTCTCTCTCGGTGTTCAACGAACCATCGCCAACAATACTTCGAACTTCTCTTAGGGAACAGTTCGTGTTCCCATTGTGTGCCGATATGGATCCCCTGAACACCACGCTTCCATCGTCATCTTCTAGAAATACATCTCCAGCCATATCAACCTCGAGTTCTCCAGTAAATATGACAAAGTCCGCAGACAAATCCAAGGCTGGCAAACGTAAAGGTAAGTGAAGATGTTTACAACATGAAAACCTTTCGTGTAAAAGGGGATATGCATATTAACTATTCCAATCAGGGACTAGGAGTGTGTCTACGCTGACACCCTCGCAACTTGCTCGGAAACGTGCCAATGACCGAGAGGCTCAAAGGGCTATTCGTGCGCGCACCAAGGAACACATAGAAAACCTTGAGAGAGAAATAGATGAGCTCCGGGGCCAGCAGAGTCGAGACCAGACGGTCCGGGACTTGTTGGGTAGGAATAAGGCGCTCGAAGAGGAAGTGAGGCGACTACGGGAAAGTCTGGGTGTCCGCGCGGGCCATCATGTGCCATATCCGAGTTGTACGGCCCTCCCAGCCTGAGTTTTGACCTTTGATGTTTTGATTCCTTTAACGCTAATTTTTCAAGTAGCATACGGTGGATCAAGTTCTCAGCCGTCCTCATACGGTCAATCTACGCCGGAATATCCTATTGTCTCGGACATGCCTCCTTATAGCAACGTCCCTGACCCTACCAATATTTGGCCTGCTTCCGTCCCATGCTCTTTACCATCAACGGTTTCTAGCCCTTCTTCCCCAGCTGCACCAGAAGATTATGGCAGCAACTACTTTACTCCCAATACCTCATCTGTTATTATTGAGAGATCAAGCATGCCACCGGCGGCTGTTCACTCGCCAGCTACGTCATGCATTACCAGTGGTGATGTAGGTTTCGACGACGTCAAGTCAGGTAAATCCCCCTCGAAAATTCCTTCATCATATCTACATAGCTGAGTCTAATCAGTTCCTTCTAGAGTTTGGATGTCCGCCGCAGATCGGCATCGTCCCAATCTCCCCAACGTACCATCAGGCGCCATGGAACGTGTACCCGGTGTACTACTAGGCGTTCCAGGCAACACTTTACCCCAACAGGCGGGTCATTCATATTGGGAGATTCCGGTCCTCACTTCAGCTGTTTGCTGCCAAGACGATGCGCTAATCTGCGGCTATGTTGCTGACTGTCGACGTTCGACGGATCACATTGGAGGCTTATCGCAGCGTGAAATTCTCTTGAGCCCACGTCGCCCGAACGTGAGGCCTATTCTGAATATTCATGGGCATTTACTAGGTGCTCTTGGTGTTCAGAGTCCGCAGGTCCATTCGACTCCCGATTATCCATTCGTTGGTATTGTAACAACACTATTCGATACAAATCATGTCGAGCTACCGCTGGAACGTATCGGTGGCATTTTATTATTCAAAGCTCTTATTGCTTGGCTAGTCCAGCCGACGAGAGACACGTACATTGGGCTGAGGGATATATTTCCCCCTCAGTCTAAACAACAACAAATACCCCATCCCCAGTGGATGGATTTCGTTCTGTGGCCCCATCTTCGCAGCGCGATTATCGAGAGGCAAAATGTATATAACACACCAGAGTTTCGTCATGTTTACTTTACGAATTTGCGGGTCAAAGGTTGGCCGGTTGCTATTACGGAGGCGTTAACGGTCGACTTTTCCAATGGTTCTATTTACGCCACCGACGAGTTTTCGGAACATATATGGGATTTACGAAATTGGGGTATGCATGAAAACTTTATACGGCGTTATCCAGAACTAGGGGCATTTTGGGGGCACGGGTGGTCGGCATAGACAATTGAGGCTTCTAGGTCATGTCGCTGGCGTTCTGGTCAAATTAGCATTGTTCGTGGCGGCTAGTAGTAGAGAACTTGTAGACACTAGCCCCAGCGGCATTATACCACGGAGGAGACGGCGTTCATATTTTGGCTGTACTTCCATTATATTACAGAGGGGTCATTTGCATCGATACGAGGTGTCTTTGTCCTGTATAAAGGCCAAGGGACAAGAAAAGAGACATACTACAATGCAATAGAAGTGGTCACCATGGTTTTCAAGAAACAGTTGTTAGAGATATGTACTTTGAGTCATGTTCATATAACCTGAATCGATTCTCAAGTACCATTACAACTTTATCATAGAACCTATGGTGAAAAGTTTCAAAGTAAAACCTGGACTATAATTAACCCCGCCAGGTCTTCAATATAATGCAACATATTTGAATTAGCGATATTCTGATTCGATAGCTTTGTAGCAAAAATTGCTATGGAGGAGACACATTCACTTGCCTCGGTCCTCGCTATTATTGTTGAACCACCATCTCCGTCGCCAATGACTATGCAGCCTATTTCTCACTTTCTGGAACCTATCTGCTAGCCTCTGCTAAAAAAAAAAAAGACATTTAAGTAATAAACTTCCCAAGTGTGGTATCCGAAATTGAAGCTATGATATACGCTAAATTATTAGATTCAGCATGACCAACCTTCGGTGAGGCATTCATCAAGCACTAGCAGGATAAGTGGCTCACTAACGGCCAATGACCATTTAGAAGAGCAATATTGCACTTCTGGGGTCGTGTAGTGGACATGTGTACTTAGTAAGAACTTAAGCCTGAACGTCGGGTGGTTCGGAGGTCGTATACTATGTAACGTGTATATCCAACACCAAAAGAGGCCAAATGCGTTACCATATTCAAATGGTGATTTGAGAAGGCCCAGCACCAGGTTACATACATCTAGAGAAAATCAACCAATTTCTCGCTCGCCAAGTATGGGGAAATGACCTAGTTGGTGATCTATCCTATGTCAGGATAGACATCTGTAGACGAAGAGAATACGGGCAAGCTTTGAACTGCTCTTGCTCGTCCATCGCAACAGGAGAGGCGTGATAGGTCTGCAAGCATCCCCACTCCACGCACCAGGCTACTCTAGGATAATGGCGCGCTGTAAATACAGACGCTATAATAGTTACCTAGATGTGGCACAACGGCCGAGGCCTCAGGAAGCACTCTCCGGTGCCCCTATCCACTCAGACAACTAGACTAAATATGCCGGTGCCACATTGCCTGCAGCCTGCAGGGGCAGGCAGAGGCTTGTTGTTACCAAATATTCGTTTGGCCTGTGAGGTGAGACGGGGAATTTACGAAGTTGGACAGACATGCAGGAAACACAGACTCTCATGCCGTCGCTCTACATATCCCAGTGTCCTTACGTGAAACATCGCATCACACTGGCTCCCTCGCATTTCTCATACAGAGATAAAAGCATCAACTTCATATTGGTTTCAAATAGTAGAAGAAGATAACTTAACCAGAGCACACGACATAACAGGCAACGTACCCCAAGTTCAAACTAATTGTGCCAACGAGGCTGATGTTTCATGGACTATGCTCGGACTGTTGGCGGAGTGTCTTGGCGCTACATGCCTAAGAGGGGAGGACACAAAACTCACCCACCAACTTACAATGTCCCTCAACCAGATCAAAGTCGCGGAACACCAAAGTCCCCAGTTGCCTAAGACGTGTGTGGGCTTATCGTTTATGCTTAGAGTTTATCGCGTTTACTCCTCGCGCGGACAAACGGAAGGCCAGAGCGGAAGACGCAGGGCCCCTAAACAAGAATGACGAAGGCCGAAGTTCTATATCAAGCTGGAGTACGTAATATATCTGTCGCTATCGAGACGTCGTCTGTGATGGATGACTTAAGTCTGCCCAGGCTCTTGGTGTTCGTTTGTCCTCTGCACTACTGTACGTAGAGACAAAAAAGCTCCGACGCGGCGTGATATGGTTCAAACACCATGTTGGCTATTCCCACTGACTAGGGCCCTACGTCACAGATTTTTCCTCCCCCTCTTTTGCCTTGTCGAAACCTGCCAACCATGTACGTGGAGATTTCAGTCCATGGGAAAACGCTCTCATTCACCCCCTCTTCATCCACATGCACGTGGCGACGGGAAGTAAAAAGTGGCCGGTAACAGAAGTAAGTTGACACTACTTCGTTTCTGCCTGACCCCCAGTTGTTACGTATCCTCGGCCACGCTATTGTTTTACCACTACAGCAGCAAAGGCAGAGGCAGAAAGGGTGGGTTTGTTCACCGAGTAGAGGCATGCATCTCGCCGCATTGGTAATACCGGGATCACCCCTGTGTTCTTCGCGCAGTAGTTGGTCCCAAGACATCAACGCACCCCCCTGTTTAGCGTCAAGGATTCACAGCCAGGATTATGTATTTGCTGGTACGCTTGGCTAAATCGTTAACGGTGTGCCCTTTTTGTAAATATTGCATCAGAAAAAAAAGGTACTTGCCCCCCCCCAAAAGCCTGCGTGGTCTTATTTCTCATGCTGGGGCTGGGGATATACGTTATGCATCACTGGATCTGACCTCTTAACGCATAATCCATTTCGAACACTCAAATGGCTGTTGGCGTTACCGTTTCGTTTTGTTTCGAAAAAATGGCTGTCATGATTGGTCAGTATCTAGACTCGACTATGTGCTACCATCGATGTGACGTTTATCTACAGGGAGGATCGTGGCTGGGTTGTCGATCCTGACGTGCGCGAGCCTTGAAACAGCAGGAAATACAGGGAACCTCCTCCGCAAATTATCTCTGAAGCAATGCGACTAATAAATACACGACTTCGCGATGCCTCTCATCGATTGCTTTCCGCCTCGCTTTCTAGTTTAGCTTGAACTTTCCTGTCTTGTGCATTTCCGAATCCTGCAACTACCATTTTCGATATACTTTCCATGGTTGAACCGGTTGCATCTAGCCAAGAGTAACAATGTGCAGGTTACAAAGGCCAGGGTTAAAAACCTTAAATGACGGAGATTGTCTCATCTCATCATAGGCTGTCAGTACAACAAGGAGGAGAGGGGTAGGTTGTCAAGATGCTCACTACCTACGAAGTACATTAGAGTACTTCGATGATCGGGATCAACGATCCACTAGCCTCCAGGTTGGATAAGTCAGAAATTGGTAACTTGTAGATCTCACGGTTGGTCGTATTATACCATAATGGAAGTCCAGAGTCGCCGACTACTACACATCGAAGCCGAAAGAGACTTCCCGTCTGTACGACGCTGAGAATCGATGGTCCGTTATCGGCGTATGCGTGCGAATCTTTCGAGCTATACACTGAATCTTTCGCTAGCTCGTTGACAGCCGAATGACGTGAACTCGGTTTCAATATCAGCAAGTCTTGTAGCCAGTGAAGCATTCAATGCATGATGTTTCCAAAGCAAGCGCTGTTCCTCCAGCGCTCTCCTTCCCGGTTTTATGCCCAGCACACCCACTCCGATCATTCATATTGTTATACTTAATCTACTCGTTATGTTTAGAAGGCCCTTCATTACTTCATTTAGAGGTGTAGGACGCAAATACTAAACTTAGGCATTTTTTAATCTCATTAAGGCCTCCACCCGCAACATCACCAACTTAACGAGATTATGAATATGGATGGGTGAGTTTTGTCTTGCGAGAGATGCGAGGCTGGACGTAAATTGCTAGGCAATATCCCTCAATTGTATATCAACCGAGGTATACCCAATCGATAAGTATCAGGTGTCTTACTATGTAATAGGTTGCTGGATGTCTCCAGCAAGCAAAGCCAGCAAAAAGTCAACTTGACATGATCACTGACTAGCGGTTCTTGGAGATTAAGGAGGTTGTGTGGTATGCTATAATTTAAAGCATGGACCGGTAGTTTGGGTAATTATCGAATTCCTGCTATACTGAAGGCCGGGATCTTGTTTAACCCCTTAAACTCTCTTCAAATGGATTGGAAGGACTTAGGCGCTAAGCACGTGGCTTCTATACATCAACAGGGTTGTGGCTTCTTAGAATAATGCTTCTCGTGCAAATGACGCTGATGCCGAGATTTAGAAAGAATATAAAAACCATAGTTTGACAATGGACAAAGATTGCTCCGAGCGGCACACCATACCTCTGATTCAAGTCATCTCGACAATGTGCTAAAGGATGTTGATCATCACGCATTCTTGTTTCTTGCTCAGTTCCATATACAGTGGGGGAGCAAAAAAAAAGGTACAATCGTGAATTCGCACCAAAAAACGCGAAAACTCACACTTTTCAATTCCAACTTACTCAAAATTCTAAGTGATAATAAATTATTAAAAAATATTTATATATAATACTTAATAAATCATTTCTTTTAACGCATCTCCCACTTGACCTGGCCACCCAATTGACCTGGCCACCCTAATAACCTATATAAAATCTTAATGTTTCAACCTGTAATAACTTAGCCAATATTGGGCCCACGATAAGATAGTTAGTACCGTTGAATTCATTATTTAAAGGGGAATCCAACGGTATTTTTTACTATTTTTTATAAAATTTATTCAGCGAGATATTAAGCAATACGCTAAAGGGGCGCTAAGCAAGGATTAATTTAGCGCTTACTTTGGCGTATTGCTTAATAACTCCGCGAATATAAGTTATAAAAGTTAGTAAAGGGTACCGTTAAATAGCCCTTTTTATTACGAATCTAATGGTATATTTTATTATTTTATATGATTAGTATTTGTAGAGTTATTAAATTATCACGTGATTAGCGCACCGACGTTTTTTGTATGGGCTAGGGGGGTGGCCAGGTCAATTGGGTGGCCAGCTCAAGTGAGAGATGCGTTATTATAAGTGAAAATTGATTTATTATAGTAGAATATGATTTATAATATGTTTTAATAATAGTAAAAATGAAAATTTTATATATTATATTTAATAATAAAATTTAAAGCTTTAAAAGGAAAAAGAAAGAAATTCTTAAAGTATTTATATAAAATAATCATTTCTCTATTTAGAATTATATAACGCATCTCCCACTTGACCTGGCCACCCAATTGACCTGGCCACCCCCCTAGCCCATACAAATAACGTCGGTGCGCTAATCACGTGATAATTTAATAACTCTACGAATACTAATCGTATAAAAGAATAAAATATACCATTAGATTCGTAATGAAAAGAGCTATTTAATGGTACCCTTTACTAACTTTTACAACTTATATTCGCGGAGTTATTAAGCTATACGCTAAAGTAAGCGTTAAATTAATTCTTGCTTAGCGCCCGTTTAGCGTATTGCTTAATATCTCGCTTAATAAATTTTGTAAAAAATAGTAAAAAA